GTGATGCTGGTCTCCTGCACCATGGAAGCCCATTCTGTGACGTCGTGTTTGATTCCAGTGTCGGAGGAGAACGTGGGCTGGGGGGCCGAGTTACATGTATCCTACAGGATTAATCAGACGGTGAATTAATGTGTTTTGAAATACGGCTCTGTTACAACTGCTTTAGCTGTGTGACCCTGGGCAAGCTATTTTACCCCTCTCTATATTAAGGCTAATAAAAGTACCTACCTAATAGGGTTTGGGGAAGGCTAAATGTGTAATTCTATCAAATACGCTATAAAATGTTGCTGTATACCGGGCACAGTGGCAGATGCTGGGAATACAGCAGACAGAAGTAGAAAGTTCCTGCCCGCTGAGTTTCTAGTCTAGCAAAGGAAGCAGACACCAGACAAGCAGCAAGTTCTCACAGAGGGAGACAGTCAAAAAACAAGGAACTCGCTTCAATAGTCTCCCAATGGGTTCCCCTGCTTCCGCCCTCACCCCTTCAAAGACCCTCCACGGGCCCAGAAGGGAATGCAAAGTCCTAAGGCTCTACTTGGGCTCCGGCTGCCTCTCCAAGGCGTTTCCTACCACTCCTCCCCCCGCCTTGCTCATTCACTTCCAGCCACGTTGACCCCTTGCTACTTTTCGAGCACCCGAAGCAGGTCCTCCTCAGGGTCTTGTGTGGATCCTTCTCCCCCAGGATCTCCACATGGCTCACCTCTCCCTTCATTCAGGTCTCTGCTCACAACCCCTTTGTCGGTGAGGTCTTTCCAGAAGATCCCACCTAAAATAGACACCCTCCAGCACTCTATTCCTCTACCCTTAATTTCCCCCCATAGTTCTTTTTAATACTGATACATATTATAATGGCTTATAATGGCTTATGTGTCAACTTGGCTAGGCCCAGTATTTGGTATCAGTATCCAGATATGTGAGCAAACATGATTCTAGATGTTTCTGTGAAGGCATTTTTTTTAGATGAGATTAGCATTTAAATCAGTAGACTTTGCATAAAGCAGATTGCCCTCTGTAATGTGAGTGGGCCTCATCCAATCAGTCAAAGGCCTTAAGAGAAAAACACTGACCCTGAAGAGGGAATTCTGTCAGGAGTCTGCCTTTGGAGTCAAACTGCAACATCAGCTCTTCTCTGGGGCTCCAGGATGCTAGCCTACCCTGCAGTTTTAAGGCTTGACAGCCTCTACAATCACGTGAGCCAATTCCTTAAGTCTTTCTGTTTGTGTACATACATACACACGCATCTATATCCATCCATCCATCCACCCACATATATATATATCCTATTGGTTCTGTTTCTCTGGAGGACCCTAAAACATAGATCTGTTTGTCTTCCTGGACCAAGAGACACACTCCATAACAGCAGAGGCTTTGTGCTATCACTGCTCTATCCTTGGCGCTCAATAAACTTGTCTTGAATGAAGGGAGCCAGTAAGAATTTCAGATTGGAAGAAATGCTATTAAAGGAAATAAGCCAGGTGACAAGAGTCAATGACTGGGGAGAACATTTTCTTCTTGTACTGGGTTGAATAGTGTCCTCCCAAAATTCATGTCTACCTAGTACCTCTCAGTGTGATCTTTGTGGAAATAGGGTCTTTGCAGATATAATTAAATTGAGATGAGGTCATAATGGATTAGGGTAGGTCCTCATCCAGTAAGTAGTATCTTTATAAGAAGAGAAAACAGAGACACAGAACACACGGAAAGGAGGATGCCATGGGAAGGCACAGGGACACAGAGACACGGAGGGAGAATGGCGTGTGACGTCAGAGGCACGTAGCATCCAGGATTGCCAGCAACCACCAGAAACTCTCGGAGAGAGGCATGGGATGGCTTTCCCTCAGGGCCTCCAGTAGGTTGCCCACCCTGCTGACACCCACTGGACTTCCAGCTTCCGGAACTGCAAGAAAACATATTTCTGTTGTTTAAGTCCCCAGTTGTGGTACTTTGCTCCAGCAGCCCCAGGAAATGGACACACCCCTCTTCCTCACATCTCTATCAGTTCCCCAGAACCCTGCAACTCACCTGCAGCTGTCCCCAGAGCCCCTCACTGAGTCACCTTTTTTGTGTGGAGCCCCCAGCAGCTGAGTGCAGGTTCCCACTTGGCCACCGGGTAACCTTGCATCTAGATGTGAGCAGGTGGTGAGAGTCTGCACAGGAGCTGGGGGTGGTCCAAAAGCACAGCCAGTTTTTTCAAAACTTCAGTGTCCTGGTTGGGAGGAAACAAGCCTCAAACTGTGCTGGGAATCAAGACCAGAGCACATGAGGTTACCAGCCAACTGCACAAATGGGACATCCAGAGGCAATCACCCAGCTTTTGGTTCAGTAAGCTCCTTTTTCAATTAAAAAGCCTGGAAGTATCATATATGAAGGGGTCTTGTAGATTTCCACCGGCTGCTGTTTCATCCAGAGGATGAAAGCTTTTCTCTGCCAGGGCTAGCGCTCTCGTGGGGCTCTGGTGTTAATGCTCTTGGGTGCTGTGTGTGTGTGATTTTGGGAAGAAGGGCATGGGACTGAAGGGCGGTTCCTACTGGCACGAGCTGGTACTGGCTCCTGCGATACTTTTCATTCATAGCACTGATCACAGTTTGTAATTGCATATTTACGGAATTAATTTATTTTGCCTGGAAGGATCCGTGTCTGTTTTGCCAAAAATCCCCAGGAGGATGGGGATTATGACTTTTTGCTTCCCTGTGTCGCTGCGCAAAGCGCGGTGTGCAGCTGACAGCAAGCATTCGATAACTATTTGCTAGAGGGAAGTGAGATGTGCAAACACAGATTAATAGATTGGGATGCTAAAGTCACCCTGCTGAAGACTGCTGTACATCTCTTAGAAGTAACCTCCCTTTTCACTACATAACTCCATCTCCCGTGTGGCCCAACTGATGAAAATTCCCCTCCTCTTAATCTTCACATAAGGGAACTTATGTGAAGGGAACCAACTCATGGGGCTTTCTTTCTCTCCCCCAACTCTACTGTAACCTCTTTTTTTAGGTAGTCAACTTCTTTTCCTTCCAAAGGAAAACTTATGTGGAATCCCAATCCAAATCCAACTGAAGGCTGAGTTGTTCACGGGGCAGTGGGAGTTGCGGCAGGTGTGGAACCCTCACAAGCCTCCCACTAAGGCACCTCCAATGATCCCCAGAGAGTTTCTGGTTTGAAAACCCCACTACGGGGGTGCCAGAGGATCCCCCCCATCTGGGGACGTGGGCCTCTGAGACTCAGCTTCAGTGGAAGCTGGGCCCTCAGACCTTGACTCAGACTCAAATGTTGGGACCACACTCCCCCAGGAGGTGGCCCACCCGGAAGGCAGATTCCGGCTCCTCAGGGAAACATGTCTCTCCATCACCTCGTATCCATCTGATAAACAGACTACTTCTTCAGGACTGAGCATCAGGATTAAGCACAGTACAACCACATAAGAAAAATAACTTTGTTATTGGACATATATAATCTTATCAAAAGTATGTCATAGCATCACATCCATAACTGAATACTAGCTCAACTGTTATATGGACCTGTTATAAATAACGAACATAGCTACTGAAGGATATGACTAGCCACTGGAAATAAAAACAGAGTCACGACACACATGGAATTCCCCAGGGTGCTCGCTTTGGGGATCTCTCATAAAGAACGCTGAGGCCCCTGGGGGATGTGTAAAAGGGTCTTTTTTCTATGATATCCCTAAAGCAGTAATATTTGTTGCAGGAGCACGTGAAGTCCAAGGTTTTGTGTGTTAACAATTACGGCCATGTTTGTGTTTTTTCCTCAAATGGAAAATTATTTTTTGATTTGTTGTGAAACATACATGCTGATGGTGCCAGGACAAATTTCATCTATTTCCTGAACTCATTATTAATAACTTTATGCTTTTTTTTTTTTTTTTTTTGCGGTACGCGGGCCTCTCACTCTTGTGGCCTCTCCCGTCGCGGATCACAGGCTCCGGACGCGCAGGCTCGGCGGCCATGGCTCACGGGCCCAGCCGCTCCGCGACATGTGGGATCTTCCCGGACCGGGGCACGAACCCGTGTCCCCTGCATCGGCAGGCGGACTCTCAACCACTGTGCCACTAGGGAAGCCCCTATTAATAACTTTAGATGGCTCTGTTCTTCTAGTTGTTTGGCCTGTTTTCCTGCAAATGAATTTCCTTTTCAGGAAAGGTTATCTGAAAGATGTTAAGGTGATACTGCTGCTCTGTGACAGGCTGGAGTGGGGAGAGGGCGAGGGACACTCGAAGTATGAGGAGGGGTTTGCTATCACCCCAAGGAGATGCCTGGTACCTAGTCACGAAGAAGATCCTCCCCCTGCACGCCTGGCAGCAGGCCTCACGAGGCCGACAGTAGTATGAACCCTAGAAAGGGAGCATGGCCAGAACCAGGGGGCCCTTCCCCTGGCATCTGGTGGAGCAACAAAGCCCCGACCCCTGGATGCCAATGTGCATTTGCTATTTACCTGTTTGGCTAGGAACACACTTGCCTGAGTTTATACGGTAGAAATGACTTTAGTTGACCAATTCATTCTGTGGCAGGTGTTAGAATTAATACAGAAGGAGAGACAAGACAGCATTCCCTGTGTATCCCCATAGGCGTTGGCATCATAAAGCTTATAATTTCTCCCTGTGGAATTGGAAAGGGAGGAGGATTTTCTTACACTAAAATGTATCCCCTCCTTGCACTATTTTGAACTGGAGAGTTTTATGCCCATTGCTTTCCGAAACAGAAGCAATCTGTGAAGTCCTATTCTAAGTTCTAGTTATCAGGGTGCAAAAAATTGAAGTCAGCATTTCTGGGAAAGAATTGAGGAGTGTACAAAGACCTTTCTTCCCCATGACACATGAAGTGGATTACCAAAAGTAGCAAATTTTATGCCCCCTACCCCCAAAAGCCTTTTCCAGTAGGTTCTAAGCGGAAGTCCTGTTTAGACAGTGAAGCTTTGGTTTTCCACCCATAGCTAAAAGACACATTAGGAATAACAATGCCTTATTATGTCTTATCTTTGACAAATATAATTTGGGCATACAGAGTACATATTTAGTCCTATGGTAGCAGTCCAAGTTTTGAAAATCTGAGGATAAATAATTATTGTATAAGTTGACCTGATCCAGCAGATTGAGATGATAAAATACAGGTTACCGTGTGTTTTGTTAGAAAATCTTATCCAGAATCGTCTCACAAATCCCAGATATTACCACCTTCCATTCATCCTGTTAATATATTACCCTAGCCTCTGGCTGAACACGCAATTTCGTTGCATTTTATGAGTACTCAACAACAGAGAAGAAAATTCTATTTCTACATGCAGTTCATGGTTAAAAAGGTAATTAAATTCTTCATTAAAAAAAAAAATCAAAGATGAACCTCATCATTTCTCACAGAGCCTGTGCATGTTTTTTTTTTTTTTTTTTTAGCATTCATCCATCCACACACTTTAAATACTGCGTCCCACAAGCAGGCAAACGTTAAATATATATACCAGATGGGAATCAACATCTGCTCAGTTCATCTCTGCGAACCCGTGGCTGGCGAGTGCTTCTGCTGTGAAGATTAGATTCTGGAGAGGCTGAAGGGGGGCAGGAAAGATCCTAGAAAAGGAGCACTGAGGATGCGTTCGCTTTCAGCTGTAACACTTTGGTGGACAGTCACCGGGGACTTTGCGTGAGTAAGAAACAGCGGAGTCAAGTGTTGGTGAAAAACTTAGCCACTGGCTGGCTGACTGGAGCCCTGTGTCTCTAACAGGATGGGGATGAGAGAAGGAAGGCTGGTGTCACTTGAGATTTGCAAACACAAGCCCTTCCTATCGTTCTGAAGAAAGATTGAAAAGTGGCAATATAAACACCCACGGTGGTTGTCTTTAAACAAGCTCTCCCAGGAGAGTGAAATGATGTAGGCTAAAAGGAGATGGAAAAAGAAAATTAAACACAAACCGCCCAGAAAGTCATGGGGACACTGCAGGGTGGGAAATGGGAACATGAGCAAAGAAAAGTTGTAACAACGGTCCTTTGTGAAGCTTAATATAAGCGCAAAGGTCTCCTGAACAGGTCGATGAAACGTCATTCTGGGTGTCAAACGACAAAGCCACAAAGTGAACCTGAAGGAGCCTGTAAGCTGCCCATTAAAACCAAGAGGTTCCCCAACAATATTACAATGTGGCAGACGTTCCTGCCCCTCCCTTGAGCACTCGTGCTCCTGTGGTTCCAGAGAAGAAAGCCTTTTCCGGAATGTGTGTCCTTCTGGGACCCAGAAGTGTAAGAGCGAACACTGACTCCAGGGGAGGTTTGGGAATATACTTTGCCAGCTGCTTCCTGTGTTTGCCGAGGAAAGGAAATCAAGAAGACCTGCAAGAACTGCAACTAGGACTAAATTATGGAAAATTAAGGAAAAACCGGGAGGAAGTTTTTAGCAAACGAGGAAAACTGTTGTTTTGCCCCTCCCTCATCCAAGAGATCTTTCAATCATGTGTTAGTCTCAACACGCTGGCAAGCTTGGCTGGCCCCTGACAAGGGCTTCTAATTCCCACAGACAGCACATTTACCTGCCTCTGTGACGCAGCAGGTCCCCTACCCAAGGTTCTTCTGCCCCATGGCCAACAACCCGAGCAGGCAGCCTCTTCCAGCCTGAGCACCACCGTACACCGATTCAACCTGGATCACAGCCTAATGGCACCCGGCGGGCACCCGGTCACAGCCAGGGAATTCGGCACCTCTCCCTGAGGGTCAGTTACCTTTGTTTAACAAATAATCTATGGTTTACTAAGCAAGCTCACTCAATCGATCAGATAGCTTTAAAACGTCCTGGCCAACCGGGAACCCGCTGTTCTAATGTGAACCAGGGCACTGCATTCACTTACTTTTTGTCTTGACAATGGAATTTATTCCTACAGCGACAGTAATTTTCTTCTTCAAATAGGATAGTTATAGATAAGCGTGGTAGGAACCCTTAACTGTCACATCTTGAGTGTCAGTATGTGGCAGCTTATAGGACAGTCAATATGGGACTGTAATTTTTCTCCATCTTTTCTAATCTCCACTCCTTCTCTCCTTCCTTAATCAAAGTTAGGAAACAAGGTTGGATAAGAGAACAGAATATTTTAAATCTGTTAGATTGACAAGGAAAAAGAATTATCCACCAAGATAAATATACATTGTCATCTCTCCCTTTTCACTGAAAATTTTGATTTCATTTGACTTAATTTGATTTAATTCATTTAATTTGATTTAACTTTGACACTGAGGTGTAATAGTCTATTTTGGACACGTATCTATTATTTTTAATAAGTAAACTCGCATTTTCTTAGAACTCGCCTTGCCATTCCCCACTTTTTGATAGTCTGCCAAATTTTAAGACACTGTGAGGGTACCTGATTCAGAAATCAGAAGTCCCTGGGAAATAAGGAAGTCAAAGGAAAGTTCCACTGCAGATTCTCCAGGGGAAGCAAGTAAATCAGTCATTTCCTCCCTCTTGTCTTTAGTATGTCTAGCCTGAAAATAGTGTTTGGGATAAGAGAAGTACGGAGGAGAAAGGAAAAGAGTTTAAAAAAAAGAAAAAAAGAACGTATCTTTTCTAGGTCTCCAGTGGTGTTCTGTTCTGTTCTTTGGATGATTTCACTGCAGGCGAACACTGCTCTTCCTTTGGCGTGAAGATGTCGGCGTGTGCTAAGGATAGAAGTCTCTGTGGGTTCCCAAGTCTCTTGTCTCAGTTCTTTTGGGGTTGTCATCTCCAGAGCCGAAGTCCATGGTCTCTGGAGAGCTGGAAAATTCCTGAGGTAACGGGAACTCCTCTGCTGAAGAGTCAGTCCGGTGCCCGAACACCTTTTCCTGCAGCTCGGTGATGTCGTTGCGGATGTCCGCCAGCATGAGCAACAGGAAGTCGAAAGAACCAGGGGGTCCCTGCGCAGGAGAGAGGTGTCAAAGCTAGACCACCACACACCCAACCCCTGGCCGACTGATGGCTTCCGTGGGCTCTGGGGTCTGCTGTCCTGCTGTTGGCTGGCAACTACTTAAGTCAACTGTGTCGCAAAGGGACGAAACATAAGGACTACAACAGCCTGGGGGATTCTGCCTTCTATTCCTTCAGCTCCCGGATGAGCTATGGTGACACGCTGACCTCTCGTAGCTCTAGGCTCTATCAAATCCAGTAAAATGACAGAATATGAGAATAACCCTCCTAGGTTACTTTCCAAAGAACCCTGGAAGACACTTACGAAGGCAGAGAGTAGTGGTTAAGAGGCTGGGGTTCTGTTGTGTTTGAACCTCAGCTCTGCCACTTACTAGCCGTGTTGCCCTGGGCAAGTTACTTAATTGATTTGGGTTTCTGTTTCCCATCCATAAAACGGGGATAATAATAGTCCTAACTCTGTAGGGTTTCATAAGTGAGGGTTTAATGAGTTAATGCATGTACAGGGCATGTAGCATAACACATTTTTAAATGTTATCTTTTTAAAAATGAAATTATTAAAATGTCTATAAGGATGGTTGACTATAACTGCAATTTTTAAAAAAAATAAATTTATTTATTTATTTTTATTTTTGGCTGTGTTGGGTCTTTGTTGCCACGTGTGGGCTTTTCTGTAGTTGTGGCGAGCGGGGGCTACACTTCGTTGTGGTGCGCGGGCTTCTCATTGCGGTGGCTTCTCTTGTTGCGGAGCATGGACTCTAGGTGCGTGGGATTCAGTAGTTGCGGCACGTGGGCTCAGTAGTTGTGGCTCACGGGCTCTAGAGTGCAGGCTCAGTAGTTGTGGCACCCGGGCTTAGTTGCTCCGCGGCATGTGGGATCTTCCTGGACCAGGGCTCGAACCCGTGTCCCCTGCATTGGCAGGCGGATTCTTAACCACTGCGCCACCAGGGAAGCCCTATAACTGTAATTTAAACGAAGTTCAGTATATGGTAAAGGCGTCCATTCCTCATTGACCAGGAAAGGTCCAAACGAAGGCTTCCTAATTCTTCTACTGAGTGAACACCTTTTGTCATTATAAACTATTTACTAAGCCTTGGTTTCTATGAAGTGCTGTGTGGAACATGGGAAAATAATGTGTGAACATGAGTGTTCTGGGCTTCAATCTTTTTTTTTTTTTTGGCGGTACGCGGGCCTCTCACTGTTGTGGCCTCTCCCGTTGCGGAGCACAGGCTCCGGACGCACAGCCTCAGCGGCCATGGCTCAGGGGCCCAGCCGCTCCACGGCATGTGGGATCTTCCTGGACTGGGGCACGAACCCGTGTCCCCTGCATCGGCAGGCGGACTCTCGACCACTGCGCCACCGGGGAAGCCCTGGACTTCAACCTTTATCAGCCTCTGCAACCCCTGCTTTGAAGCCACCACCTTAGCAAGCAGCAGGACAGCAGCTTACGTAACTCTGCAAAGCACTCAGTGCTGCACGGAGAGCATTCTGACATCAGTGGATGATCACCTGAGGTGTGGCAGTTCAGATGCCACCTGCATTGCACAGATTAGGGGATGGACACCCAGAGATGGATGCTAAGTGACATGGCCGTGATCAGAGAGCTAACAGGTGGAAGGTGGAGATGGCATCTCAGACCTCCTACCTCTAAGGTCAAGGATCTTTGTCTTTCTTCAGAAGTGACACTGACTTCTTCACAAGCAATGGGGTTGCTTGAATCATCTGTGCTTTTGGATACGATTAATTTTCACTTTTAATCTCCCAGACACTATACGTCCAATCCAGCTAATTTTGTCTCAATGGTCCTGAGTAGCTGAGCACGTCTGAGCTTTCTGGAGGGGACGGTCATCCAACCTGCTAGGGTTCTAGTGGTGGCTACATTCTTAAACCTTCAGAGTTATGACTTAACCCCGTAGATTTCTTTTCTAGCTCCTTCAGATGTTGTAAGACATACCTGGAAACAGACTCACGACATACTGGGGTTTTGAATCTTAAGAGAAGACATTCCAAGTAGAGATTAGCTATGATCATAGAAACAACAATAGGAAATGAATTTTCAAAAGTAAACCCCAACCAGCTGCTAAAGGCTTCTGTGATTCTTCTTCTAACCACGGAGTTCTCTGTGGGCAAGCTGAGCGACAGCTGGAAGGGGCTGGCTGTTGCTCATAAGACCAACTTACAGGCTCCTCAGAGCTGCAGCCCTGAGCACACTGCACTGGGGAAGCAGGACAGGTGGTGCTACTTACTGGAGACCCTCTGGGGCCAGGTGCTCCTCTTTCCCCCTAAGAACAGAAGGGTCAGGGTTAGCTTTCTGGACAACACGGATGCCACCACCCCAGTCTCTATTTAGGTACCCCACCACTACCATCTGCCTGCACAAAACAGAAAATACCTCCTACGGGAAACAAATGTTAAGCTTGAAGCTGCACACGTGGGATCGCTGGTTTGAACCAAGCTGCTTTGAGTCAAGTGCCTCTCATTTTGATTTCCCCCGAGGCCATATATTTTCCAACCAGATCTGACAGGAGGAAAGCTGCTCTTTCCAGGCCGTGTGTGGAATACCTTAGAAGCCTCCAAAGTAACTCACACTGACTTCTGTATGAGGCAAGTGGCAGGCAGCCCTCAGGGTGGAACCACCCACTTGCACAGAATGGGACTTCTCCTGCTCTTGGCTAACGAGAAAAACCCACGCTACCATGACAGCAAGGAGGCTTGTTTAACATTTATAGGGTGATTTTTCTTAGAAGCGGTTTTGGCGGTTGTTTTTGTTATTACGGTTGTTCCGTATTTTAAGAAAATGGCTTTTTAGATTCTCCTCCCAGCTTTGGGGACAAAAGGTGTATCTGTGTCTCAACTTCGCCACGTGCAAAATGGGGACAACAAACTGTGCTTGAGTTTTACGTGATGCCTGCCCAGTAGGTGGAAACTGAGAAACCTAAGGCGTGTAAGGACCCCCCAGAAGACTTACCTTAGAACCATCTCTTCCTGGGGCACCTGGTGGGCCCTACAAGACAAAGGGACCTAGTTTAACAGAAGGAACGCGCCTTCCCCAACTACAGATGGGAGCTCTGATGAAATACTGACCACGGGGCCCCTCCGGCCTTGCTTAATGTGGGACAGATCAGGAGACGGTCCCATGGGTCCCATGGAGCCCCGCGGGCCGGGCTGCCCGGGGGGACCTGGAACACCCGGGAAGCCTGGGCTCCCCTTTGGTCCTGGTGAGCCTGCAATCAAAGAACACCTCATTAGTCCACAGCCCGCGAGAAGGGCAAGGCTGACTGACAAGAGAGTCCAGGAGCCCCATTCAGCCACTTCTCTTCCCTCTCTGACCTTTGCCTTCTGACCTCTCCACTGAGATGTCCCATGGGCAGTCTGAACTTAACACAGCCAGAAATTGACCTCCCTATTCTTTTAAAAAATGTTTATTGAAATACAGTTGGTTTACAATGTTGTGTTAGTTTCAGGCGTACAGCGAAGTGACTCAGACTTCCCCATTCTTTTCACGGACCTCCAGTCCCCCAGCCACTCAAGCCAGAAACCTGAGAGTCTTCCTACAGATTTCCCTGTTTCCACAAGCTCCTTATCCAATCAGTGACCAGTTCCGTGCATTTCACTTCTTTAACGGCTCACAACGATCTGCTCCTCTGCACCCCCCATCACGGCAGGGCGGTGGTTAATGCAGCTGGGGAGTGTGAGCGTCCAGGTTTCAGCAGCAGGGGGACCTGCCTCTAAATCTTGGACAAGCTGCTTGACCTCTTTGAACCTTAGTTCCTCATCTGTAAAGCAGGGCTAATAAAACTCTACCTTACAGAGCAGTTCTGAGCATTAAATGAGACTTTAGATACACGTACACACCACTTGGTGTAGCACCTCACACACTGAGGCACTAAAATAAAAATCTATGCTAGCCCTTCCTTTTTTAAAAAACATTTTCTAGAATCAATGATTTTTTAAAAATAAATTTATTTATTTATTTTTGGCTGTGTTGGGTCTTCGTTTCTGTGCGAGGGCTTTCTCCAGTTGTGGCAAGCGGGGGCCACTCTTCATCGTGGTGCGCGGGCCTCTCACTGTTGTGGCCTCTCCCGTTGCAGAGCACAGGCTCCAGACGCACAGGTTCAGCAGCCATGGCTCACAGGCCCAGCCGCTCTGTGGCATGTGGGATCTTCCCAGACCAGGGCTTGAACCCGTGTCCCCTGCATCGGCAGGCGGACTCTCAACCACTGGGCTTCACTGCGCCACCAGGGAAGCCCTCCTTTTTAAAAAAAAAAAAAAAAAAAATTCTTTATTTTTGGCCGCGTCGGTCTTTGTTGCTGCACGCCAGCTTCCCCGTGTTGCGGTGAGCATGGCCTACTCTTCATTGTAGCCCTTCCTTTCATTTGCTTCAACTCTCGCCTCAGAGCGAGTCCCTCTGTTTCCCATCAGTCTTGTTCACCCCTCACCTGTTCTTCACACCTCTATACGAATATTATTTCTGAGCAAGTCTTACTGTGTAACTTTCCTACTTTCAACCGTTTGGGGCAAAAGTCTCAAGCCACTGACGTGGGGCAGCAAATCTCCTGCAGGACCCAGGGGGATGGCTATTACTATAAGAGGAGGGGCAGCAAACTCTCCGGCTCAAGATCTGCCATGGATACAAGCCAGAGTTGGGCTGCTACAGGTGGGGAGAAGACCTTACCCTAAAGCCTGGATGCCCAGCTCATGCTTAGTGCTGCAGCTGGACCAGAACTGAAAAATCCTTGAGCTCCACAGCCCCACCTCGTGGTAGTAAGTCACAGCAGTCTCCCACTGGAGAACAGCAAGAACGTGGAGAGAGGAGCTCAGAGTGACACAGCTCTGCAGGGGCTGCTGAAAGCTGAGAACCACTGAGAAACACCCACCAGCACCCTAGGCCCCCACTAAACATAGAGTAACAGTATCCTGCCATCGGAGGAATTTGAAAACTTGAAGACTGTGGAACACTAGAGGTAGAGACAGTGAGAACACACCCAAACCTGGCTCAGTTATTCATTAGACTGACCCAATTCTTCTTGCCAGCAGCCTGGATACCCATCTCCAGGAGTAATTACTTTGTCCCCCAGTCTCTACTGGTCCTCTCCGAATGGTATCTGGCATTCAGTCCAAAATTTTGAGGCACATTATAAAAAACCAAAAACCAAACAAAACCCAGCCCCCTCCCCGATTAAACAGCCCCCATTCAAGAGACAGAGCAATCAACAGAATCAGACTTAGAGGCGACCCAGATGTTAAGGTTATCATTCAGGGACTTAAAAATCACAGCGTATGCTAAAGGTGCTAGAGGAATAGACAGCTTGCCTGAACAGATGAGGGAATTTCAGGTCTCTTTTTGCTTTTGTCATCTGTGCTTTTGGCGTCATATCCAAGAAATCACTACCAAATCTAATGTCATGAAAGTTTTTGCCTGTTTTCTCCTAGGAGTTTTACAGTTTCAGGTCTTACATTTAGGTCTTTAATCCATTTTGCATATGGTGTAAAGCAAGAGCCTAACTTCATTCTTTTGCATGGGGAAGGATATTGTGTTTAACCCATTTTAGCCTGTCAACTTTATGAGGGCATGGGTTATATCTTAATCGTCAGCACACGCTCAGAGAGGCCCAGGTACAGAGAAGGCTGCTTAGTAAATGTGTCATGTCAAACGACTGCAATGAAGAGGCTGGGCTGATTGCTGTGCTATAATTATTCCTCAGCGATGCATTCCTTAGTGCTATAATGATTCCTCTCTTTCAAACGCACACAGTAATGACTTCTTGATCGTACGCGGCTCCTACAATCGGCAGAGCACAGTGATAGGATGGAATGGCTTTCAGGCACCAGAAAACAAAACAAAACAAAGACTTCAAACTTATCGTGTTTGGGGACGTCTTTTCTAGCTCACAAAATAATTGAGCCAACATAAAACGCAGTCAATGTTCGATCCAAGTATGTCTCTCACCCCCTATTCTCAATGCTGGTTCCAGGTACATCCTGAAAGAGTTCATCTGGGAAGGGAACCAGATCCCTCTTATAACTCTGAATATAAATATAATATTTTATTATATATTATATTATAATATTAATAAATAATTAATATTAATTAATTAATATTATAATATAACATTATAATATTTTATATAATATAATAAATACATTATATTATATTTATATATTATATATAAAATATAATTTATAATAATATATATAAAATATAATATATATTATATATAATACAATATATTATATTATATAAAATATAAATATTTTACCTCTGATAGCACAAGGACAGGCCAGAGGTAATATCTCACCTTCATTTACACAGTCAATGAACTTCAGAGACCGCTATGTCAAGTGCCTTTAAAGTGTGGGGCTTTGATGTACAAACGTCAGCACCTTATAAAGGAAGAGCGGGAAGCACAGAACAGCAGCCGCTCCCTCAACACCAAAGCCAAAGGGTTCCAGCCTAGTAGAGCTTCCTGTATTGGGGGCCCAGGCTGTGATTTATCACAGACTCCAGGACTGGAATTTTAGTTAAGGGTAAGAGAAATCTTATTATCTCTCTAGTTGCCCTAACACATCTCAACTGAGGGCATCACAAACTATGAGGCTAGAAGTAAGGAGAGAGAAGGAATAAGGATTGGAGGAGAAAGCAAGGGCATAGCCCGTTGCCAAAGCCAGTCCTCAATCACTCCCTGCTCCAGCAAGGACCCTGGACAGCTCAAACCATGCTAGAAACCAGACAGCAGCACTGGAAAGGAAAGCTAGCAAGTCATTCGTTAAGTGAGAGAGGGGCAGGGACTTATATACACTACCAAATGTAAAATAGATCGCTAGTGGGAAGCAGCCGCATAGCACAGGGAGATCAGCTGGGTGCTTCGTGACCACCTAGAAGGGTGGGATAGGGAGGGTGGGAGGGAGACGCAAGAGAGAGTAGATATGGGGATGTATGTATATGTATAGCTGATGCACTTTGTTATAAAGCAGAAACTAACACACCATTGTAAAGCAATTATACGCCAATAAAGATGTTAAAAAAAAAAGAAGAAGAAGAAAGAAGCCAATGGCTCCCCTGTTCCTACTTTGTCCTTGTTGAAGTGACAGGTTGGCTGGCCTGGGGGCATGAACTTCCTCCAGGGAAGCAGAGCGAGAACATTCTCTTAGAGAAGGATGGAGAACACTGCAAACAATCAGTTTGTAAGGAGAGACCTAAGTCTACTTAGAAGCAGCAAGAGGCTGCCTATGTGTGGCATCTGCTGGAGAAAACTCAACCATGACCCAGAGGCCAAAAGAGTGAACGAGAGGAGAAACCAAAGTCCTGGACCAGTCCTTGGTCTCTGTACAGACTGAGACCCAGGCCACCTGGGTTTTGATGGAAACCAGGAGATGAAGATATAAGTGGAGAAGAAAACATATAGTTTGGGAAGCATTCTGAGCCTTTGTTTTTGCTGACCTTCCAGCCTAAAATCTGCCCGTGTCCTCTGTGCTTGGACCAATCCTACCTCTCGTGTTCTTCCAGGTCCAACTCAAACCCCAAGTCCCCTGACCACTGCAGGCTACAGTGATCTCTCTCTTCCTTAAGCTTCCACAGCAGGAAGTACCTGCATACTTTACTTGGGGGCAGGCAGGTACTGTTTTATTCTATTTGCTTTCACTTTATGTGTCTTGTCATCCTCGTTAGAATGTCAGGAGGTCATTCACAACACCTAGCACACTGCTAGGCGATGAACATGAGGGATAAGACATCCATGTCTTAGAGTCATTTGTTAACACTAATATAAAAAGTATTGATGTATCTATGGAGGGACTCCTAATAAAACAGAAAACACCCTGTTGTTATTTTTTAAAGTTCTCATTGCGTATTGCCTGACGGAATGATAGGAAATTTGGGATTTTCTTCAGAGTAACAAGGGTGAATCTCCAAAACAGTACGCGGAGGAAGCCAGACAGAAGGAATAGATTCCTTTCTATGAAGTTGTAGAACGGACAGAACTGCAGCAATACAAAGCAGGTCAGTGACTGCCTAGAGCTGAGGATGTAGATTGCCAAGGGCACAAGGGACCTTTCTGGGATGATGGAAATGTTCTACACCTTGACGTAGACCAGATATAGGGTGGTGGTTAGGAAGTGCTTGATATAGGGTGTATGCATCTGTCAAAACTCGTCCAACTGTATCTTAAGTGTGTACAGTTTATTGTATAGAATTGTATCTCAGTGAGATTGACTTTTAAAGGAAAACAGAGAGATAAATATCAAAATAAATATCAATGTAAGTGTGTTCACAAATAACAGGGGAAGGAGGAGACAGGATTGGGGAAGAGTGGCAGTGAGGCTGGCCATAAGATGTTAGCACCGGGCGATGAGCCCACAGGAGTTCATTACGCCATCCTACGTTCATATATGTTAGTGTTAAAAATAGTTTTCATTTTGTTTCTCTGTAACTTAAGATGATCTTTATGAATCTTGTCCAAACCCAGGACAATGACTTTTTTCTCCCTGATTACTATTGGTTAGAAGGGTTTCTCAGGCTTGACCCAATTCCCCGAGGCCCTCTTGCCACAGGGGCATGGAACTCCCTGGACCCCGGCTTCTGTTCCCATCCATGGGAGCTAAAAAACTCTGTCGCACCCCCCCCCCCCCAACTAAACGTGAGCTCTCGGCAGGCCCTGGCTGGTGAGCCTATCGTCCTTTTATGCTATTTGCTTTCACTCTATGCTTTTATGCCCTTCTTTATACTCACCGGGGGGACCCTGGCCCCCAGGCAGGCCAGGTGGTCCTGGAATGTAGGCATTTGAGGCCAGCACCTTGTCGCCAGTGATGTACTTGCCCAGGTCCGCAGCGCTGTTGGGTAGCAGGGCAATCTGCAAAGAGAAGAGGAACCTGGGTCAGGAAGCACCGACGGCCCCACCGCTGCCAGGGAATGCCCTGCGCGTGTGTGGTCTGCAGAGGGCACAGAGCCTTTTCTTGTGCATACGCCCTTATCCGAGCCAGTCAGAGTGCAGACGGACGGTAGAGATCCTTCTTATAAACCCAGAGGCCTTCTAGTCAAAACAACTTGTACAAGAGCACTCCCCTGGCTGCTTAGTGGGTGAACCCGGATCAGTTCCAGCCTGCCGAGATATCATTAGACTCATCATCTTCATAATTAATACAATCCACCTGTTCCAGACTTTTATTAAGAACTCATGTCTCAAACATTTGAGAAACTACTACGTGCCAGGCCCTGTGCTTCGTTCTAAGGCGACAACAGTGAACAAGACATGGTCCCGGCTCTAACAGATCTCCGCCTTGAGAGCCAGGATGGAAGATATGACTTACAGGTCACGTGTACGCTCAGGTGTTTGGGAAACAGTGGCTGTGATGGTTTTAAAATATGTCCACAGATTTTTGGACACTCCTCCCTTTAAAAGGTGGAGGCTAATTTTCTGCCCTCTGAGTGTGGGTTGTGCTTGGGGACTTGCTTCTAATGAATAGAAAATGACGAAAGTGACGGTGTGTAATTTCTGAGATAAAGTCATAAAAGGCACCGTGGCTCCCTGCCTCTCTCTCTCTCTCTCTCTGATTTCAGGAGCTCATTCTAGGGGAAGCCAGAGGGACCACACACGTGAATGACCTTTGCATTCCTTGAGGTCAGGAATCAGTGAGACCCTTGGTAAGAACTGCATGCTCTTAATGTCCATTTCCTCACTGATAACGCCCACCGTTAAGACGTGAGGATTACACAGGTAGTGTGTATCAGGTGCCCGGCACAGGACCTGAAATGTACTAAGTGCTTGATAAATGGTAGTTCTAGTCTCTTCCTTCCAGGAAGCTGATTCAGGGGTGTAAAATCCAGTGGAGACTGCGTTTTTGAGGCTCAGAGCTACCCCCAGAGGTTTCACTCGGGATCCTGGAGTCCCACAGAAACCAAGTATCACTGCGATTTTCTGAAGCAAGTTGCATTTGTCACCCACGTCCTCCTGGACGAGGCCCTGCTTGGGAACCCTCTGGCCAGAGGGCAATGCAAGTTACGAGAAGGTCCGTGGATATCTCATCCTTGCCCATGGAGCGCTCCGAGGCTCTACACCCATCTTCGGATCTGAGCTGCGGACAGAGTTTCCTACCACCTGTTAGTGATCAGAGGTGGCCAACTGCCACTGTGACAGAGTTGTGCTCTGTGGGTTCAGCATCAGCACAGAGTGCTAAATTAGAAATTGTGCAAGTTCTCCCTCTGAGGCTTATGTCAACTCCAAATTACTACAGCTTTTGGTGATAAGAAGTATAGAATTGAATGTTGATTTGAAAAACCGTGGAGTTGGGGACTTCCCTGGTGGTGCAGTGTTTAAGAATCCGCCTGCCAATCAATGCAGGGGACACGGGTTTGATCCCTGGTCCGGGAAGATCCCACATGCTGCAGAGTAACTAAGCCTGTGTGCCACAACTACTGAGCCCACGCGCCACAACTACTGAGCCCGCATGCTGCAACTGCTGAAGCCCATGCGCCTAGAGCCTGTGCTCTGCAACAAGAGAAGCCACCGCAATGAGAAGCCTGTGCGCCGCAACGAAGAGTAGAACCCCGCTCGCTGCAACTAGAGAACGTCAACGCAGCAGCAACGAAGACCCAATGCAGCCAAAAATAAATAAATAAATAAAAATGAAGTGAAAAATTAAAAAAGAAAGAAAAACCCTAGAGTTTACTTTCCTACTTCACGGGCAAGTCACCTTCTCACCTCTCCTTTTCTTCCCCACGGATTTCCTCCTGCCCCAGGGAGACTAGACAGTCCCAGTTGAGTTCAACCACGCCACAAGAATAACCCCTGGGGTCTCAGGTCACCTGGGTTGATAGTAACAGAGCAGGGAGGTGGAGTAAAAGATGATCGTGAGATCTTGAACCCCCCAAGCCTAGGCCCGAGGAATTTATGGGGAAACTACAAAATCTACCTACTGAACTGCAGCTAAGAGACCAGTGTGTGAATGGCACTGGGAGGCTTGGGAAAGTTCTGCTGTCCAGATGAACTTCTCTGGCTTCATAAAGTCCTTGGTCTCCTGCACTGGTGTCTGTTTCTGAGCATGGAGGTTTGGGAATGATTAGCATGACTATTTCCAAACATGACTCTGGAGGACACCCCTGCCCCAAGATCCCCTTCTCCTGTGGGGTGGTTGCTGGGTTTGGGGCCATCTTGAGCCAGATGTAGAAGCGATGATTTTTCTTAGTTACAGAGACAGATGTTCTTGCTAACAGAAGAAATCCATTATGAACGAAAAGCGAACATCACAATAATACGTGGTCTGTATGTTGGCAAACGACTTGTACCTGCTACATCTGACGGAGAACAAATTCTTCCAGCTCTCTGCAAGGTGACTGTCCAAGTCCTGTAGCCCATTAGCCCCTTAATGAAGTGCTTGCAATGTCTCTAAAAGGTGAAAGCGTGGGAAACCACGAGAGGGTTCTGGCGGTATCCCTGCAGCCTGGCATACAGAAGGGGCGGGGCCACGAGGCCTGAGGTGTTGCCCTGCTCCTCCTGTCCACCCCCCTAGCTCGCCTGCAGAGCACACGTCAGGCTCTCCTGGGTCAAGGCCTTTTCCCTGCTTCAGCTGCCCTAGGTGGCCTATTTGAGCCTAGGATGCTCCTCTGCCTGGAAATTCCTCCAGTTTTTTTTTTTTCCTTTTCTCGGAGTTCTTACTGAAATCCATTCAGTTCACGGTGCAAGGATGCTCAGAGGGCAGGAAGCTCCAAGAAGCACCGACGCCCTCTTCCGAAGGGTCCCTCAGTGCTTTCGGAGCCCCTTAGCTAGTATGAAAATCCTCGGGTAAGGACAGCCTTGCAGGTCCATGAGCTAGAAGATTCCTGACCATCCAGTGTGTTCCAGATAAACAGTCTTCTTCCGCGCTTTGAGAAGACCCAGTGTTCCCCGAAAGATGCAAGGAAACACACTCAATTCCCCTATGATCATCGTTTAGAATTCAGTAGGGAAAACGATAAGAATTACAACCTTGTGCAATCTGAAAGCCAGCTTTGCACAATTTCAGGTCAGGGTTCATGGTTCAATGTCACTGCCAGGACCCAGCTACGTCCCAGGGGCTTATTTACAATGGTGCTGGTGTCACTGTGTCACAGCGAGAGGCCACTCCAATCTGTGACTGCATGCCTGGGTCCTGGGGTGGAACGGGGGTGAACCCCTGAGTGAGGAGGATTTAGAAGCGAAACTACTCTAACTAGAGGACAGAGGGTCAACACTGGCCCTTGAAGCCTGGTTCAATTTTATTATCTGCTTCCAAGAGAAAAACTAAACTGTGAATTTTATCTGTTGGTTTTGGCATTAGGCAGATCTATGTTTAAATCTCAGCCCTGCCATGTTCTACCTGTGGGATCTATAGAACTGATCATCTCAACCATATAATGAGGATCGTAATATCCACCTAAGAAGGGCTGCTGGGAGGATGAAAGTGACGATGTCCTGAACGTGCCTGGCCCAGCGCCCAGACTAGTAACCGCCAGCAGCCAGGACCGCGGACACAGTGCAAATGCTCTTCGGGGTGGGACGGGGTCAGGGGTTGAGGGGATGCTCCTGGCTCTGTTTCTAAATAGCGGGATGACTTTGGGTAAGTCCCTTCACCCTTCCAGGTTCTCACCTTCATGCTTATAAAACGAGAGGTTTGGGCCAGACGAACAAGTCTTTGGATGTAAAATTCCGTAAGCAAGCTGGGAGGATGAGACCGGCACGTGGAGGGACTTCAGAGATTAGTCCCCACCCACCCTGGGCCCTCTCCAGCTCTCTTCGCTCCCTTGTAAAAGTCAGGAGGTGACCCAGTAAACACTGACCTCAGCTTCCTGGCTGACTTCCTGCTGGGTGATTACATCCCGCTTCCCGCCAGTTCCTCTGTGTGTCAGCAGGATGAGAGGAATGTAAAGGCACTGGCGTTTTAGAGGCGGCCCTCCAGAAATCCTGGCTTGACCGTCTACCCAAACACAGCAGATGACAGGCTTGAGGGGTGCAGGTGTTTGGGAAGAAGTCTGCATTTCTCCTCGATTCCAGTCAATGGAATTATGAATATCATTATCTCGTATTAGCCTTCGTAATAAAAATACCTACCTCACGGGGCTGTTGGGACGAATCAGATGCTGCCTGTAAAGCACTTTATTAGGACATATAATTCATGTTTATTATTTATTCGGTACACATTTACAGAGCTCTTTCTAGGTGGCAGGGACTGTTCTAAGTCCTTTACAAATATTAACTCACTTGATCATCATGAAAACCCTACGTAGTATGTATCACTGTTATCCACTTTCTCTAGAACTGAGGCACAGTGAGGTTAAGTAACTTACCCAGGGTCACACAGCCAGGAAGTAATGAGGCTAGGACTTAAACTTAGCCAGTCTGGTTCTGGAATCTGTGGTCCTCACCACAACACCCAGCTGCCTCTCTTAATATTACTCATGATACTTGGCAAAGCAATCTACAGTTACTTTCATATAGAATAGTCTTCCCAGCCATCCTGAGAAGACCCATTTTACAGAGCAACTAGATCAAGGTAGCAGAGGAAACCATGAACCATTGAGAAGCCATCTATTTGCCCAGCACTAAAGGCAGCACTGAAGCGAACAAACGCAGCCGTCAGGTTGCACATCTGCTCACACTTCTGAAATCGCATTGACCTCTAACTTCTGAAGCCTCCGCTGCCTGCCCCACTCCACTCGGCCATGGTGTTAACTCCACTGTGGGCTTGGTTTCCCAGCTAAGACAGGAAGCTTATTTAAGGCAGGCCTTTATTCTGTCCGTTCTCGTCATTCGTCATCTCCCAGCCCATCACAGGCCAGAGCGGGTGCTCAACAAACACTCTCACTTCCTCAACTGCTCCGCAGCAGCGCTGCTCTCAACTAAGATCACCCCTGCTGCAGGAACACAGGGACCTGTTAAAAACTTGCTCCTTCCATTGTGTATATATACACCACATCTTCCTTACACATTCGTCTGTTGATGGACACTTAGGTTGCTTCCACTGGCTATTGTAAATAATGCTGCTATGAACACTGGGGTGCATGCATCTTTTTGAATTAGCATTTTTGTTTTCTTTGGATATATAAAAAAGAATGAAATTTTGCCATTTGCAACAACATGGATGGACTTGGAAGGCATTATGCTAAGTAAAGTAAGTCAGAGAAGGACAAATGTGTTATCATTTGTATGTGCAATCTAAAATGTAAAACAAATGAATGAATATAATAAAATGGAGACAAACTCCCAGATATGGAGAACAAACTAGCGGTTAACACTGGGGAAAGGGAAGGGGGGAGGGACAGAATCCGGGTAGGGGATTAAGACGTACAAACTACTATGTATAAAATAAGTAAGCTGCAAGGAAATATTGCACAGCACAGGGAATACAGCCAATATTTCATAATAATTTAAAATGCAGTATAAACTATAAAAATATTGAATCACTAGGTTGAACACCTGAAACCAATATAACACTGTAAATCAACTATATTTCAATAAAAAAGTCATACCTGAAAAAAAAATTTCTTCATACCAGTAAAAAATAAAAAAATATATAAATTAATTAAAAACTGGCTCCTTGGGACTTCTCTGGTGGCGCAGTGGTTAAGAATCCGCCTGCCAATTCAGGGGGACGTGGGTTCGATCCCTGGTCCTGGAAGATCCCAAATGCTGTGGAGCAACTAAGCCCGTGCGCCATAACTACAGAGCCTGTACTCTAGAGCTCGCGAGCCACAACTACGGGAGCCCGTGTGCCACAACTACTGAAGCCCGTGTGCCTATAGCCCGTGCTCTGCACCAAGAGAAGCCACTGCAATGAGAAGCCCGCGCACGACAACGAAGAGTAGCCCCCGCTCGCCGCAACTAGAGAAAGCCCGCGCACAGCAACGAAGACCCAATGCAACGGAAAATAAATTTTAAAAATAAATAAATAAATTCATTTAAAAAAAAAAAACCTGGCTCTTTAGCTCAGATTTTTCTTCAGTGTTCTGATGGGACAGAGACCCCTCTCTGCAAGTCAAATGACGGGTATTTTATCTATACCTCAAACTCTCTTTTTAGCCAAATCACCTGTTTGTTTTTTTCCTTCCCAAAACACAGAAGAAATTGTAGAGGTGAAGGCACTGGGATCTGCACATCATTTCAAAAAAACTTTTTCACTGGAAAATAAAGGCACAGAATCTGGAAACCCCACAAAACAAATCTATATCTTAGCAAATTATTATAAGGCAAACACCCTTTTATTGAACACCTAAGTCAAAAATCAGAAATTTGTCAGGGACTTCCCTGGTGGTCCAGTGGTTAAGACTCTGCGCTTCCACTGCAGGGGGCGTAGGTTCGATCCCTGGTGGGGGAACTAAGATCCCACATGCAGTGCGGCCAAAAAAGAAAATCAGAACTTTGCCTACATGCTTTGACCCAATCACAGCCTTCTCCCTCCCTCCCCGCAAAGTAACTACTATTCTGACTTTAATCACTTCCTGTGTTTTAAAAAAATAATTTATCAAACCCAACTGTGCAGGCCCAGACACTACGGTCTAGTCTTGCCCACTTGAAAAAACAATACGTCTTTTAAGCTGCTTTTAACCTGCAGGTCGCTGCTCCACTTTTCTTAGAATCTATCCACTGAAGAACACAGGGCATTGGCCCTGTAGAGTTTCACACGGTTGGGATTTTGCTGACTGTACACTCATGGTGTTGTTCAACACGTCTGCATACCGTTTTATACTATGGGGCTGGCCACGGTCCAGGACACCCGGTAACCTACTTCTGAGCCAATGTTTATTTGGGCAGCTGTCCCATGTTCTTTTTTGAACAGAACAGATGGCATCAGCAGTAGTGAGAGGAAGTTAAAAATCAACGGACAAGCCCCACACCAGCACAGGAGCAGCAGTGAGACCTGGGGTTTAAGGTCTGGCCTGCGTCTTGGGCTGACACCGCTCCTCTCTGCCAATATCGGCATCACGGTGAGAATTAAATGGGGTCCTGGATATAAAACGGCTTTATCAACTGCAGAATGTGACATGTTCTACTAGGCGCCTTTAAAAATGCGTTGTTTCTTGTGACGTTCCTTCAATGCCAGCTTTAGCTCAGACTTGACACAACGCACTTGTAGGAGAAATCGGTCTAAGGTGGATCCATTCCAGGCCAACCCCAGTGCAGGACAGTTACTGGAGTACTAACAAGTATTATTGGATCTGTGTGTAGCTCTGCCGCAAGGGCTTTAAGGGTAACATAAAATTTTCAACTTCTTCGTAACATTTCTTCTTTCATGGATTGTAAAACACTGCGGGGAGGTTACGGGAAAGCCAGATGTTGAATTAGCAGCTGAATTTCTCAACTAGTGAGACTTAGCGTCACTGACCCTAAAGAACATTCAGGCTGGAAGGAGCTTCCCCATAGCTCTTGGATTACTGACTCTCAGAGAAGAAAACGGAGGGTAGCCTTAGGCTTTGAGACTTCATCAGCTGCCTCGCCCAGGCCCGAATCCTCTGGCCCATGAAATGCAAACTTCTTCCACGAACGCTTTTTCAGACTCGCTCAGTAAATACTAATATCAATCCAAGTCCAACGTGAGGATATCTGTGTGGGATGTATTACTGATAACTCTGAATTTATATTGATATACGTGCAAGGTTTTCTGCCTGGTCTCTCTATTGGATCACAAGCTATTTGGAATCTGTACATCATACACATATATGCCTCTGCTAAAGTTGCTAGATCTTCACCACCAACGTACCAAAGGCCCGCAGAGCCATTTATCTTCTCAGCCTACTGACCTGCCTGTTCCACTGGAAGCTGTGGATCTCATTAGGGGCTGCCTGCATGTTTGCTGAACACGTGAAAAGCAATACTGTCTAATCTTACCCTGCTGCCCTTTACAATAACTAGATGTCAAAGTTAAACAGATTAGATACACCTCTTTGATGTACTAAGAGCCTTGAGGGGAAGCAATTAAACAAACAAACCAGCAAGTTTACGTTTTACAAGCGTAAGAGCAGTTTCTGAGTTGCCGACAGACTGGTGAATTCACTGACCTCAGGTATGATAAACACCATTGACCCGGGCACCGGACAGTTGCTTAAGCTTTCAGGGCACTAAGCACATCCCAGGGGCATTACTCACGGCACAGCAATGTTACCAGAAATATGATGCTGTCAGGCATGCGTGGGAGCCTGACAAAGAGAGTCAGTCCTCACCCTTGGTGACACCGGGTATCTGAGCAGCTGCTTTCTGAGGTGTGTGGAGCCCAGAAAGCACAGGTCGTAACTTTTAAATGTGAAAAATAAAGCTGCTACAGAAATGCATCACCAGTGATGAACGTTTATAGAGAAGATGTTCTCTGTTGATAAAACGTCGGTAAATGATTCTACCGTATTCTATTTAGAACTGTGTAAGGGCCACGTGTCTGGATGTTCATGTCCCAAAAAGTCACACTAGTCGTTCCTCACCCTCTGCTTCACCACGTGCCCCTTACCTAGGGGTCTATTTTACTAGTCACCTGGTCAATCCCCTGCCTTCATCGTTCTGTTGAGCTATAGATAATGAGCTCCAAAGGTGGGTGGGCGAAGCGTCCCAGGCCAAACCTAGTTGGCAGCAAGCTCAGAGAATACCCAGTGAGGCTGTGGATGGCATCTTCTTATTGTTTTCAGATGTTCCTCCACTTTGCCTCCACCAGGCCTTCGTTTCATCTTACGCGACCGTTTCTAACACGCCCGGCACGTACCTTCTGCTTCAGCTGCAGCACCGTCTGCTTCATCTGGTGAAACTCCTTGCACGTGGCACAGCAGGTGCCGGCTCTCACCGCGTTCTCCACCTTCTCATCGTGCCCTGAGAGAGAAGATGGGCTGGGGTCTGCCTGGGAGGCTGGGGGACATCCAGACCCAGGGAGACCATGTCAAGAAGGGCAGTTCCAGGCGGACTGGTTGATGCTGAAACGTGCGAGGGATGTGGGCTGGCGATTTTACAGTTCTTGGGTCGCTGACAGCATGCCCAGGGCAGCGGGGACACGGGGAGGGGCTCCCCCGCTACACTCTGGGCTCAGCTGTTTCCACTTAGGCATCCTAGCACCTTCCTCTTTCATTGTGAAAAAGTCAACAGTGGCCCTTTTACCATGAGGCAGGCTCTATCAACCTGACATGACTTACACTCCCCTCCAAGGGCCAACGTTCACACGCCGTAAATTATCCCCCAAGCCCAGGCAATGGGACTCGGGTGCAGGGCTCACGAAGCTGGTTTTTATCACCTCTGATAATCCAGCTGTTCAAAGGGAGCACGGCCAGGCCAGGCAGGGTCACAGACCGGGGCTGGGCACTGACCTCCGAGGAGGTGTAAAGCCAGATGGAAGATGCTCCAGGCACCTTGGACATGCCCATCCAGGGTCATAATGGGACAGGCACAGGGCAGGGTCCCAGTGCAACCTTGTGGCGCATCAGGAGCTCCGTGGGCTTTGTGTAAAATCATATTTCTCTAAGGAATAGGTGAGTTAAATGGTGACACGACCCAGTATCCACATAGCCCTCATCCTACTGGCACCTGAACAGACCACACAAGCCTGTGCTGGGGACACTAGACACCTGAGGTCATTTGCTACAGAAGGGCAGGTGCAGACTCCCATAGGCCTTTGTAAAAGATGGTAGCTGTGCGATATGGGCCCAGAGGAAGTGACACGGGGAAGGTGACAGTTTTGGTCAGGGTGGCGGCAGGACAGTCTGACACCCAGGCAAGTGTCAACTCTCCTACCTTTGAAGCCCTTTGGTGTTGGGCCAGGTGTCCTGTTGGCGTGACACGTATAACACTAGGATCTGGAAAGTAGCTAGGGACAGTCAAGTGACATGTCTCTCCAGGTCATTTCTTCTGCTTCTGGGCCCACGTGCTTTTTTTTTTTTTTTGGACCGTGTTGCACGGCATGGGGGACTTTAGCTTGCCGACCAGGGGTCGAACCCACTGGACCGCCAGGTAAGTTCCAGGGCCCACGTGCTTTTCTTCTTCCCGTCCTCTCTTCTGGGAAGCCTTCTCTCCGTCTCCACTTGTGGATTCCTATGAGCTACCAAGACCCAATTCACGGGTTGCCTGAGACCCCCCTCCCCATACACAGAGACAGCTCTGTCCTCTGCAGTCAGGCAGCCTTTACCACGCAGCCTACTCAGATGGTGGGGATCCCGGGCTTCCCTAGAGAGGAGCTTCTCGTGCATGTGCCACAGGGGGCGCTGCCCAGGAACTGGAGCTGCTTCTTGGTACCTCACACAGGGGATGCTCAGTTAGCGAAATGGAACATTACAGGGTGACCTGTGTCCCCCGCCGCTCCCCAACCAAGTGCACGTGATGAAGTCCTAACCCTTCAGTGCCTCAGAATGTGGCCTCATTCGGAAACAGGGGTCCTGCAGATGTAATTAGTTAGGTTGAAGTCATACTGCTGTAGGGTGGGCCCGTAATCCAATATGACTGATGTTCTCATAAAAAAGAGAAATCTGGACACAGCAGGGAGAAACCACGTGAAGATGCGGGTAGAGGTCAGGGTGAGGCAGCAGGAGCAAAGGAATGACAAAGAATTGTTGGCGAAACAGCAGGCGCTGGAGGAGAGGCCTGGAACGTTCTCCTTCACAGTCCTCGGAAGGCGGCAACCCCGCTGACACCTTGATCTCAGACATATAGCCTCACATCTCTGTCCTTTAAGCCACCCAGATGGTGGCACAGTGGTTATGGCAGGCCTAGGGCACGGGTACATGGGAGGAGGAAGTGGGCATCGGGAGAGCCTCACGCTCAGGTGATCCCTCCTCACGCAGCCCCAGCTGCCTCTCCAAGGGGGTCTGTGCCTGCCTGGTGGTCTACACGGTGACCGGTATTTCTGCTCTTTGGGAGGTGAGGGCGCCCAGGGGCAACCTGGCAGTCGAGATCTCAGACTCCTTCCCTGCAGCACAGGGTGGTGGTAGGGGGCCCACTGGCCCTAGCCCTCCCCGCAGCCGGTGGGAGGCCTGAGGCCTGGTGTGCGCACACGCTAGGAACACGCTTCTCAAGCCAGCAGGCTGAGGTGGGCGACGCAGTGCTCTGTCTGGTTGCGTTGCCATAAGCAACACTGTGATTCCCGAATATACAGACTGTAGCTTAGGTTGTCAGCGTGTGATTGGGAAAAGCACTTGAACCTCCGGGAAAGAGGCTGCCTCTTTTTAAATCCTTCCATGTGTGTGTATAACCTAACAGGGGTGCCGCCTTGATCCCCATCTTCTAGGCTAATTCTGTCCCACCAGGAGCTTCCCCGCCTCCCGGGCCTCTGCCCACCTTCCACCACACTCAACCAGAAGCCATGGGGGATTGTTTCCATTCACACCGTAGCTGTGTCACAACGAGCCGGGTTATGAGAAAGGTCTTCGCTTGGAGACGGTGAAATGCAATTGAAGGGCATGGCCTCCAGGGTCACAGTGCGAGGGGTGCGTACCCCAGCTCTGTCACTAACTAGCTCAGAGACCTCAGGCAAGTTATCTAACCTCTATGAGACCCAATTTCCTCAACCATAACACTGGAACAGTAAAACCTAAGACACAGGGCTATTGCGATGATTATATGGGGGTGATGCCTGTGAAATCCTTGGCAAAAGGTTGGGTTCTAATAAATGGGAGAGGGTGCCTGGCAGTCTTCAGGCCCTCCAAGCCCTTTGAATTCTCTTTGCCTGATAAAAGGATTCTTCAAGGATTCTGGGATTAACACAAACAACAGAATGAGGGAAAACTGAGGTTCCGTGACGTCCGGAAGTTATTAACTGCTGTGGGTTTAGAATTGAGGTTTCCTGAATCTGAGCCCAATACCTTTCCTACAAATCAGGCAATTTCCTTTAGGCTCTTTATCCCCATTTAATGTACCATTTACAGCCCCACTTGCCTATGGAGCTTGAACACATCTGAGGAGAACAAGAGTTATTTATATTGGTCTCCAACATAATAGTGACACAAGGGAACTTCCATGCAAGAATACACTTGGTGGTAAAGGACTGAAGCTTTACCCAACTTTGGTTGTACTGAGGATAGACAACGGTGGACTCCTGCATATGTAGATAACCCCAGCTCTAGGTTTGTTAGGTTTAAGGACAGCTGGGTGACATCCGTCTCTCCCAGCCTAGCATTCTTTCATTCCATGCCATCTACTGGCCAGTATGTGCAATCCCATCTCATAACCCGCCTACCAATCACAACCATCCCATCTCCCCACCCACTTCTCTCTCTCATCCATGTATCTGTCCATCCAGCCATTCATCTTTCCATCCCTCCCTCCCTCTTAGCCATCATGGAGCATCTGCTATTCACCAGGCCCCATGGGAGGCATGGAGAATGTAAAATGAACGAGGATACCTGTTCAGTGATTTGAGACGGGCCTTCCTTTTAAGGAACCAGCCCTGCTGGCAGAGCCAGGCCAGCGTGAACGAGAGTTAAAAGCCCATCTGTCCGTTTGTACTTTTGTATACGCAGCTCAACGTACCATGTGTTGGGATGAATAGGGCAACCTGATATTTTCAGGATAATAACCTCTTTACCAGGTTCTAGACTCTATTTCATTTACATCATGGAATGTTAGAATTGATACATCTTTAGTTCAGCCTCCTTTGCAGACAAGGAAAGTGAGAGGCAGAGGAGGACAGTAATTTGCTTTAGGTTTCCGGAATGCTGCGTGCAGCGGACGAGCACTTACAGGGTCCGCATCTGGCACTGTTGGGGCGCAGTGAGCCCGCTATTGGGGGTTCTGCTCAGGACACTGGAGAGCTGTCTGCCAGGTGGGCTCCAGGGCAGTAATTCTCCATGTGGTCACTGGACGAGCAGCGGCAGAGCCAGCCTCTGGGTATCCGTTCTCAGAAATCCAAAATCTCAGGAGGGGGGCCTGGTGCATCGTTCTATCAAAGTCTCCAAGTGACTCTGAAGCACGTGCAAGTTCGACAAACACCGCTCCAGGGAAGCAGCTCTGTTGAGCAACCTCTCACCTGAAAATCCCTGGCCTGTTTCCTGTCCCTTTGCAGAATTATCAAAACACAGAGAACAAGGGTAACTTTGTCCAAAAGCCTTTGGAAGCTCCCGTGCACACAGAGGAAGAGTAAGGACCACAGGCTCCGGTGGAGTCAGGTGATCAGGATTCGAACCCTGAGGCTGCCACTTCGTGCCTTGCAGGTTGGAAGTCACAGCTTCTGTGACTGCCCGTTCCTTGAACGGTAGAACGACAATGACCCCGTCACCTGTGGTTGCTGTGAGGCATGAAGGAAATAACCCCTGGAAGTTCGCAGAGCAGCGCCTGGCAGGCGGCAGGTGCCCCATAAATGTTAATATCATCGTCATGGTTGGTATCACTGCTTATTAAGTTCCCTACAAAATTACAGATGGGGGGAGGGCTCTCTGCACCATCCTCTGGAAAGAACTTCCAGAGAGTTTGAAGACAAATAATTGTGTGTGCAGACCTGGCACATGCCGTCTATTCTGAATTGGGGTTCCTCTAGCCTGCTGTGGTACAGGATACAGTAACATCAAACATGGAGCTAAAACAATCTTGAATAGGCTACATGAATAATTCATTTAGAAATCTGGGTAGACATCTCTGACTTGGCATGTTCTCTGTCCTCTCCACTCATGATGTGGTGTCTCTGAGTATGACCATGACCATGTTAAGTGAGGCATCGCTTAACATTCTGCTCCAACTCGTTCAGATTTTAGAGGTGCAATATTATTGACTAGCCACAGGGGGTCGCGTAGCTCTAATTTTTACTGACGTTGAGCAGGCTATACCTCGTAAGCGTTAGAAACAGAATTCCTGAGATGCCATCTTAGTAATATTTAACCAACTTAGGAAAACTAAAGAATGTTCTCGGCGTATTTCATATGGGCAGTCACCAAGCACATTTGGTTTTAAAAGTTGATCGTGCACATCTGTGCCCTGGCGGTAGTGCTCAGCCCTAGTGGCACATTACCACCACTAGGGACAGTGGCGGGGGTGAGGGTTTAAAATTCTTGCCAACCATGCCGCATGCCACCCATCTGGGGGTCACAACAAGGGAACGCTGTCAGCCTTTTTAAAGCTCCCCAGGTTGACAACGGCTGACCTATGGATTAGTGGAGCTTGAAAGTTACATGAAACACCTGGCCGTCCCTGAAATAACTGATGTTGGGGGTCAAGGTCACTTTATCAGAAAAGAAACAAAAGTTGAAAAACAGAGACCAGAAAGCTAATTACTACGGAGCCAACATATCCTTAATTTGTCTCTGCGTCAGTGCTACAGACGCCCTGGGGTGCCTACACTGGCTCCAGACATATATTTGCAAAGACAAAAAAAAATGGAAGTGATGGAGAGTGCCCTTCCCGCCACTAGCCAGACGGCTTGTGTCCCCACACCCGTGGGCACATGACCACCTTTCCACGGGCAGAGGCCGTTCTGAGGCCAGCCCTGCTGCTGTCCACTCACTTCCTGAATGAGCTGACATTGTGTTCGATTTAAAATTCCTGACTGGAAGGTTAGACACCAGTCAATGCAAAGTAAAAAAAAAAAAAAAAAGGGGGGGGAGGGGAGGGGGATTTAAATCACGTGTGCTTATACTCCATCACCATTATCTCTTCTTGAAAAAAATGACTGTGATGAAATATTGGGCTTATTAATTAATCTAAAACGGATGAAACTGCGTGGCTGCCTCTGATGTTCCAGATGCAGGGCTGCTCCAGCCCCCTAACTCTCCTTACTGTAGAGCTGAATATCTGGATGTTAATTATTCATCTTTTAGATACTGTAGGGAAAGTTCTCAGTTTAGAAGGTGCTGAGCTGGGCATGCCTTCAAGTCCTGACACTCGCCTAAATAAAGGACAAAGAAATGAAAACTGCACGGGGACTCACGGGGCTGGTAGGGCTTCGACCACTTTTGCTGATGCTAAATCACACCAAATTGTGAAAAAGATTTGTGATGGTAAAAGGGTCTTTAGAGCTCACCTAATCCAACACCTGTGTGTCTACAGAGGAGGAAACTTAGATCCGGAGAGCTGCCCAACGACACCCAGCTGGTAGACGCTGAAGCGGCTCTCTGGTTACCAGCTCTCCTACCTTCCAAGCCAAGGAACTTTCCATTGCATCACAGCTGCTGCAGAGATGAATCCAGGATGCTTGCTTTTGTTGCCCGAATCATCAAAACCAGCCCCCCATCTTCTCAGGGGCCCATCACTTAAGTACTGATTCTAACGTTCAAGGCATAGAACGTGCCTGTCCTTTCCCATAATTTTAATTATGGGTACGAATTACTCCCCTCAGTCCCTAACCCCCCGACGCCCTTGGTTACCGGTGTTGGAATGTTTTTCTTAATAAAACACTAAAACCAAACGTGAGTCCTCTGTGCCTGTGTGGTGAATTCAGGAGAGACCAGTCACTGAAAATTAAATACTGAGAAATTCTAGAATGCTGCTGCTGCGGGCGCGGCACTTGGGATACAATAGAAACAGTGGGACTGTTTCAGTTTTTAAAACTATGTGGGGACTTCCCTGGCGGTCCAGTGGTGAAGACTCCACGCTTCCACTGCAGGGGCCGTGGGTTCCATCCCCAGTGGGGGGAACTAAGGTCCCGCATGCCTCGCAGCATGGCACCCCCCCACCCCCACCCCAAAAAAATCCCAAACTAAGTGAGTTGTGGTGTTACAAGAAAGCCCAGCCTTATAACCACTAGACGTTCTTACTGATTAAACAGAAGGACATTGCCCATTTAAATCACTGTAAGCAGGAACAAACTCTCTCTCCGGAGGGCAGAATGGCCTGTTTTCACTCATTAGATGCTCTGTAGCCGACAGCCAACAGCTCCCCGCCTCTGGCTTTGGCTCCTTCCTCTGGCGATGACAACATCCTCGCCTGAAAGTCGACCAGATGACTTACCGACTTTGGGCCCCAGGGCTCAGCTCTTTGATGCTAGTAAGTTAGAACTTTCCAAACTGTTTTTTTTTTTTTTTTTTTTCCAGGACACCATCATCTGTGAGATGCTTATAAGTGTTTCTTCAGAAAATAATTTTGGGAAGTGCAGGTTTCATCAAAATGAACATCTTTTAATGGCAACCTCAGAGCTTTCAACGCACTCACAGTATGAATCCCTGCAGAAGCTGGTGCTCTAATGCATTCTCCCCCGAACACCTGAACACAGAACCTTTCAAACAAAGAAAGGCTAATTAACACCTCCCAGGACCCCAAAGTCCTATAGATGACAACATGGGGAAATGCTGTAATAAACGGTTGATAAAATATGTCTTTAAATGACAGTAATAGTACAGAAGGTACAAAACCAATTAATAATTAAGTATGCTCAGATTTTTTTACTGAATTCTTAGCCTTAGAAGTCAAAATGGTTATCACTTAAATTCTTGACCTCTTATACTGAAAATTTTGTGTGTTTGGACATTTTTTAAAGAAGTACAATTCATCTCTCAGGAAAGGAAACAGAGGAGTGTGGTCCCAGGACCGACTCAGCACAAGAGACTGCTAATATCAAAGCTTCAGTGGGACCTTCCCATGCTCTGGCCCTTGGGCTGGGCTCCTTTCTGGGTCCACACCGCCCAAGAGCGAGGCAGGGGGTGAACATGTCCCACCAAGGCCCTACCTTGTCACTGCCTCTGGCTCAGACCCATTCCTGGGGTACCACACAGTAAGCAGGGTGACTTCAGAGGGATGAGGCTGGGAAAACTAGGAATTAGTGCAAGAGGTAGAGGCCACCTGAGACCAAAGAACAAGTAGATTCAGTGTATAAAATCTTCCCCTAGGCTCTGGAAATTCCATCCGACTCCTGTGGTCTCTGCTAGTTAAGGTTGGGTCTCTGAGCAGACCACTCTACCCCACCAGGTGGGAGTGCTCACAGGTGGCCCGCTTCCTACAATTTAGAGATCCCTACCGTCTAACCCCGCCCTGATACTCAGCAGTTGTTGCTGCCACCTCTGTGGTTTCCTCTAGATTGGGTTGCTCAAGGCTGCCCTTCACGCCCAGGTAAACGGGATTTCACCTGAATAGAAATATAAGGCAAAGACACAACAGGGTTACGAGGTTGAGGACCTCTCGGCCCAAGCCCACGGGCTCCCTGGCTTGCAGCAAAGCTGGAAATCCAATTCTAAAACGAAAAATTAGAAAGCTGCTTTCTCCTTGCTAACTCTCAGGTCAGCCCGTCACTAATATATCAGCGGCTAAAAATCTGCACCTCATTTTTCAGTGAGATTCTTCCTTTCAACGAGGGACATAATCTAAGAGGTAAGTTACACATCCCTCCTCCCCCAAACCTTCTCCACCATGGGACAAAAGTGAAGTGATTTTAATTCTGAGTAATAATTAAAAAGTGGTCTGAAAAAATGTTTTGAAAATGTCTGAAAAATGCCCCAAAGACTCATTACCCCTGCTTTTAAGCACCTCTGGGCGCCCAGGTCCCACATGCTTCAGGCTTTAAAGAGTGTCACACTAAGCTCTCTGAGTCATTCCAATGACCCCAAGCTGCCCAAGCCGGAGCTGACTGCAAGCAGACCTTTCGCGTTACTTCTAATGCATGGTGGCTTCCTCATGACTCAACCCGCTTGCTCTTCAGGATTTGCTTTGTAGTTTTTCCATGTGAGACAGCTGGTCTCCAGCTGTTTGCTGTCCTCAGCTGATGGCAATGGCCTTCCACCCTTTTGTGAATCTCAGGTTACACGGAAGAACCGCGACCTCTTGAGCGCCCAGCACTTCTGGTCCTTCCATTCCCCTGCATTTCTTGGTAGAGATGATTTGTCCTGGGAGCCCCTCACCACCCAGAGATGGCCCAGGCCCAGCTAACCTCTCCCAGCAGACGACAGTGTTCCTGCCACTTTCCCCTCCCGAGGAGTCAGAGCTGAACTCTGAGCTCGGCAGCTTCCTGGCCTACAAGGGTTGGAGATTCAGGAATGCCCTTTCCTTCCTCCCTCCCTCCCCTCCACACTTAAATAAGGCAATGACCCAACATTCCAGCTGATCACATCCCTAAGTGATCAGACATCTTGGTGGCTTCTGGTGAAAATAATATAAAGCAGCTTCTCAAACTCTGCAAAGAAAGGCCAGCATCTAAAAGTCCTCCACGTCAGGGTGGACTGGGCTTGCTAAGTACAATAAAAATGAGCGACTGCAAAGTGCTTCTCAACACTCTCAACTTCTGTTTTTTTTTAACCTGAACATGAACCAAATAACAGCTCACAGGCAGGCACGGGGCCACAGACTATACTTTCAGTAGCGCTGAAATGGATTGCTGCGTTACACAGAAGTGTTTCATGTTTCTATTCAGCCCCCCCTTTTTTTTTTCCTTGAGAGAACCCAGTGTTTCTGGCCTCATCTCTGCTCCTCCTTGTTTGACCTCAGTTCGTAACTAAGTTCCACCGATCTGTCCATGAGCACACCACACCTCCGTGCTTGGTGCAGAGCTCCCAGCACAAAACCAGCCGCACGCCTTGCTGCTAGCAGGCAGCTCTTTCACTAGTTCTCTAGGGGTTTGACCTTCTACCTTTCTCTTACCCAGATCCCACCTACCATTCATACAAATGCCCCTTCCTGCCCATTGCTTCCTGAGGAAGCCTACTGGGTTTCCAAGTGCCTGCCTGCCCATCTCCAATTAGGGGGATAATTTTACTTGCCCTACTCACCAGTGTCGTTGGGGTATTTGTCTCCCTTGGTGCACGTCCTCCCATCATCCTCCTGGACGTAGCCCTCCCGGCACTCACAGCGGTAGCTGCCCAAGGTGTTGACGCAGATGTGCGCGCACAGCGTCTCGCTGCTGGTGGCGCACTCGTCGATATCTGGGTTTGAACCAAACGCAGAGAACGCTAAGACAGTTTCAGAGAGATCACTTCCAACACAACAGGCGACCTTAGGCTTGGCCCTTCTGTTAATGTCTGCAAAGGACACTCTGCCAGACCTCTGTCACTGAAGCCTGGAACAAAGCAGGAAGCTAAAGATGTGGGCCATGCGTGACAAGAGCACTTCAGGCAGTGTCACCATGGTTACAAACTGATCAGTGATGGGGTTCCTGGTTGTGGCTTTGCCGCCACCAATTCTCGTGGCTTGGTGCAGGTACTGCTAGCCTCCGAAGTTCTCACTATAGAACATGGCAGTGAAGCCTGCCCTAAATACTTCTGCAGGGCTCCCTGGAAGAGGAAATGAGATAACAGATGGCAACACATTTTGGAAAACGACTATCGTAGAAATGATTTCCTGCAAAGACCCTAGTGTGCCGAGGGTTTTTATGTTCCCTTTACAACCAGTGGTTCCTAACAGCATGGTGGTGACCCAAGGCCACTAGGAACGGCTCCTTCTCAGTTAGGAGACGTGATGATACCTGGGAAAAGGCACTTCTGATAAAAGAAAATAGTCATAATGGGTCTAACGGAGAGCGTTTTCCCCAGGAAATTTCAGCCCCATCCATGACCCAAACAGACCCCTCCTGAGTGGTGGAAATGAGCCACGACACCATCAAACAAGTAACCAGAGAAAGTCCACGTGAACTGCGCACATCACAGACTTGCCCCCCTACTGAACGGGTGGAAACAAAGCCATTTCCCAGCAGGGCAAGAGAAGGAGGCCCAAACCCATTTCCTGCTCACTGGCTGAAGATACTGGGTGGCGGCCAGGACACACAGCCCCAGACTGTGCACATGTGGCCAGCGGACGGAGCCCAACCTTGCGCTCCAGGATGCCGACAACGTCCCAGCCACTCCCTGGACAAGCTGCCTGGGACCCACCCCGGCAGGCCTGTGTGCCCACGAGGGGCATGTGGTCATCTGGATGTTCCCTGGCAGTTCATACTACGTCACCCGTAAGCTAAGCTGTCACAGCTGCTGCCTCCTCTGCAATTCCCCAGGCTGACCACGTCTGTCCACGTGCCCCTGCCTTCAACCTAAGGGCAAGGCTGCCTCTACTGTCCACAGGGGGAAGGACAAGGTTGAAAGGAGAGAGAAACAGGTGGGACTCTTAACAGACTGCTAGTGTTGCTGGTCCCCAAGCCTCCCAAAGAAAAGAAATGGGTACCAGAGCTACCGCAACTGAAATCAGAGCCCTGGCACCTGGGACCTCGGATCGTGGTACACACGGGTTTACGGTGCTCTCTGCAGGAGAGCCCACGGGTCCCCCTCCGTTTGCTTGGTGGTCTCAATTCCATTCCTGTTCAGTGGGGGGCGCCATGCCAGGGGCCACTGGGGAGAAACCAGGAGAGCTAACACCTAGAACCTCTCTTAAGTGGTGCTCTCCAGAGCCCCCCTGGGACGGAGAAGGGGGCTGCTCATCACAGCTGCTTTATTTTCTATCCAGATGCCTCTGCAGTCTCCTAAGTTCATCTTTGAGCTCATCCTCAAACTGCACTGTGCATCTGTGCATATGCAGATTTCTGCATCCACCCTCAGAGTCTCGAGGCGAGGCCAGGAACCTTTTTTTTTTTTTTTAAGCCATAAGCCCAGATGTTTCTGAGACAGTTTAGACATGCACTGACCACACTTTGATACAAGCAGTTCCAGGGTCCAACGACCATAAACCTGCCTCAGAACCCAAGGAGTGCAGGGCTGGGAAGCCTAGTGAGTGAGGGGGGAGGGAGCAAGCTGGTGGCGATGGATGATGCTGGCTTTGCTCAGCTGTGCCCCGGGGGCTGGTGTCAGCTCCCTCTGAGTCATTTCCAGCCTGTCTGCCATACAGACACCTCCTCTTTCCCAGTCTCTCTTCCAGGTCATCTTCTGAGAGGAGGCTTATTCTTGTTTCATTCTTCCTGCATTTTCACATTTCTGCCCCCTTACATTCTGTTTCACCTTATTCTAGTTTTCACTTGGTAATATTCCCCTTCTCCTGCTCTTATATCTCACTGCCAATTAGGATCTGACTGGTACCCACTCCCTGAAGAATCCCTTGGTCATCGTTTGTTTTAATAATCATGGTGAAAGGTAGTGACCCCTAGAATAGTACCAACCCAACTCCATCCAACAAGTATCAGGATGTAAGGGGAGGCATCCAAGTGGCTCCTGAGAGCTGGTCCCCACTGATGAAGAATGTTCCAAAGAATCATCAGAATCTGGCACATCCTCAGGACCCAAGAAATAACGCGCATCACCAACGCACCCAGACAGTACGGCTTCTCCCGCCTCCGGTGCCTCTCCCGGTCATATCGGTATCCTGGGTAACAAGTACACAGCACTCGGCCGAAGTTATCTGTGCACTGCTGTTCACAGGGAGCCTCAGCACATACATCATAATCTGAAAAAGAAAAGTGTGAACTCAAAACCACCACAGTCATTCACTAGACGGAGGCGGGGCCCACCCAGCCCTGGTCGGGAACAGACTGTCTAGGCTGCACTCCGCTCAAGGGGAACGGTGGTGTGACCAGCTATGTGTAGAGGGAGTTAACTCTTCAGGCCATGGGGCATCTTGCAGGAGGGCTGCAATGGGTAACTGAGTGCTCAGAATCTCAATGGTTAAATGGAAATATCACTTGTGATACTCCCTGGGTCACCTCACCATCCTTATTTTTTTCTTTCTATAAGAGCATCACTACAAACTTTAATGGTGTATTGATTGGCACAATCTATGTAAGAAGAATGTGCTTACCATGTAAAAGTAACCTCAAATAAATTCATCTAGCGCAAAGACCTTCAAACCAAAGTATGCAATCCCTGCGGAAAAGGAGATTGTCCTGTGGGTACTTGGACACATATAAATTCAGGAGGGTCAATTTACAGATATTAAACTTTCATGTTTATTCTTTCTAAAAACTGATCTACTTGAGGATTTCCACCATGATCAAGAGTCACTGTATTTCTCTTTTGCTGCCTTTCCTTTTTTCATTTTAAATAGAACACCTTTAATAAAATATAATCCACATAGCACAAAATTTACCCTTTTATAGTGTGCAATTCAGTAGTTGATTTTTGTCATTCATCCAGAGAGCAAAGAAGCTTTCGGTGGCCAGGCTCTGCTGAATTACCTGGGGGCCTGCTTCCTCTTTTTCACCAACTGCTGGAGAGACAAGGAATTCCTTCCAGCTGAATACGGAACAGCCAGCCCTGGCTATGGGCACTGGCGTCCTAACGTGAGGGGCGGGGCGGTGCTGGAAGTCAGGCAGGCTGGGAGGAGCCTGAGGGAGGCTGACTGATGTCTCTGTGCTGTAGGCATGCAGATGGGGTGGGGGAGGGTCGATTCTGCATGGTGAGCAGCGTCTGGGTAAGGCAGAATGGCCAGAGATCTCGTTCCAGCTCTAAGTCTGCAAATTGGGGTGGACGCTCTATTCGTCGAGAACCAGGGCATCTCCTCTTTTCTCAGTCCTTACAAACAAACTAATATTTAACGAGTCTCTGAAGGGACTTTGGCTCTAAGTCAGGAGGCTCAGGCTGAACATTTACTTCCAGACTAGACCCAGCATCTCATTAATCACTGCACTGTCTCCCCCAGGTGCTGACAGATAAACTATCGCTGGAAACAGAGTGAGCCTGGCTTTGCTCTGCCACATGTGAAAGTGGAATGGGTGGGCTGTCAGCCCCCGATGTGGGTGGGGTCAGCGAGACAAGGATCACGCCAATCTCAGGACGACCTGGAAGGCGGCCCTTGCTAAATACTCCTCCCCACAGATGGGATTCCAGGCCTGCGCTTCCTGCATGTGTCCCTGGTCAAATGCGTTTTCTTCACTGAGGCATCACCTCTAGGCAGCCCATGTTCTGTGCTCTTTTCGCTCAAGAGCAAGGTCTCAGCCGTGATTGGCTGTGGGCTGCCCTGCTCGGCCAGCTGTACCCGTCGTCCAGCAGCTGCCAGGGAGGGAGGGGAGGAAAGGGGCAGAGTCAGGAGTCCCGTGTTGACTGCTATGCTCACTAAGACCTGTGTTGACATATGTGTGTTAATATACGATATTTGTTTTTCTCTTTCTGACATACATGTGGAATCTAGTAAAATGGTCTACATGATCTTAATCGCAAAGCAGAAACAGAGATGTAGAGAACAAACAAATGTAGGGACACCAAGGTGGGGAAAGGGGGGGAAGGGGCTGGGAGGAATTGGGAGATTGGGATTGACATATATACACTATGGATACTCCGTATAAAATAGATAACTAATGAGAACATACTGTATAGCACAGGGAACTCTACTTAATGCACTGTGGTGACCTAAATGGGAAGGAAATCCAAAAAAGAGGGGATATGTGTGTATGTATAGCTGATTCATTTTGCTGTACAGTAGAAACGAACACAACATTGTAGAGCAACTATACTCTAATAAAAATTAATTTAATAAAAGATAGCAAAATGCTAAAAAAAAAAAAAGAGAGAGAAAGAAAAAGACCTGTTTTGAAAAACAGCGGCCCTGATTTCCTCCTCCCTTCCAGCTGCCTTGAGGTACCACTTCCAGCTCCTGCGGCTGATTCTTTTATGATTTCCCTCTGCATCTCTAAACAGCCAGCTTGCATTGCTTCCTCCTCCTCTGTGTGAATACGCTTTATGGATTTCCAGTCATGGACGAGACACGTTCAGCTTTATCACGGTTTCCTCAACCACGTCCATGCTTCCTACTCCTGCATTTTGCCCCTGTCGTTACACCGAAATTTTGGTTTTATAAGTCTTCAGTGTTGGCAGCATAATGACAATATAAAAGCTACTTTTTGCTAAGCCTGGAAGTATACTCTAATTCCCTATCCTTTCTTGAAGACCGTTTTGTTTTCCCTGGAATTAAAATAATTATCTAGTACCACATGCACCCAATGTTCATTGCAACACTATTTACAATACCCAAGACATGCAAAGCAGCCTAAATGTCCACCAACAGATGAATGGATAAAGAAGATGCGGTACATATATACAACGGAATATTACTCAGCCCCAAAAAGGAGCGAAATAATGCCATTTCCAGCAACATGGATGGACCTAGAGCATATAACACTAAGTGAAATAAGTCAGAGAAAGACAAATATAATCACTTACATCTGGAATCTAAAATATAATACAAATCAGTTTATTTACAAAACAGAAACAGACTCACAGACATAGGAAACAAACTTATGGTTACCAAAGGGGAAAGAGTGGGGGAGGGATAAATTAGTAGTTTGGGATCAACCGATACACACTACTACATATAAAATAGATAAACAACAAGGATTTACTGTATAGCAGAGGGAACTATGTTCAATATCTTGTAATAACCTATAATGTAAAAGAATCTGAAAAATATATATATACAACTGAATCACTTTGCTGTACAGCTGAAGCTAACAATACTGAATATCAACTATACTTCAATGAAAAATAATTATTATTTTGTATATTTGGGGGGGGTAGTTGTGAACTTTCTCTCTTAGCTTCAAACTTCCACTTCCATGAGCTACTTTGTGACTGGTACCCTGGAAACCACATTTCTGCCTTGTTGGCTGCTGGCTTATTAAGTACTGAGAACAGGGCTGGGAGAGTGAGCAAGGTGGAAGAGGAGAGAGACTGAGAAAGGTCTTACAGGATTTAAAATTTTGAAGTCATGTGTGCCTGACCCTTATGGCTAGTTAGGGCATATAATTCTAGGTTTGGAAAGCTACCTCAGAATTCTGAAGGAACTGCTCCCCTGTCTTCTAGCTTTCAGTCCTGCTATGGATAAGTCCTATAAGATTCTAATTCTTGATCTTTCAAATCTCATTTTTCCCTCTTTGAAAAATGTTAGTATTTTCTTTTTGCCCCAAGGTACTAACATTTCACAATGACGTCTTTATGTGGGACCCCTTCAATTTTTGGTAGGCTCTTTTAATCTAGAAATTCATATCCTTCAATTCTAGAGAATTTTCTTGAATTATATCTTTAATGATTTACTCTCTTCTTCTTCCTCTGTTCTGTGTGGAACTCTTATTTGGATGTCGCATCCCCTGGACTGGTCCTCTAATAATATTCTCATACTTTTCTTCTACTATTTTTTTATTTCTTTGATCTTTTGCTCCAGGTCCTGAGAGGTTTTCACAATCTCATCTCCCAACCATTTTCCTGTTCTCATTTTATCATGCTTTTAATTTCCAAGGATTCTTTATTTCTTCTTTGAATGATCTTTTTTTAATAACACCATGTTCTGGTCCCATGGATGCTATATCATTTTTGTAACTCACTGACGCATAAATGGTAGTTACTTTGAAGCTTTCTTCTTTCTGTGTGGTGTTTTCTCTAAGACTCTTTTTCTTTTTTTCCTGTATGTTTCTTTTGTAGGTTTCCCTCTAATGACTGGTGATCCTTTTCCTGTTTGGACGTCTGCTGTAACTGATTCATGGTTAAATACAATAGCTAAAACATAAAAAAATTATAGCTACATAGAAGCAAAGCTATAAAATTAGCTAAATATTGAAGAGAAGGCTATAAAATCAGCTAAATAGAAGCTCTTTGCATGTGGTAGACTTTATAAACACTGGGCTTAATTTTTTTTTTTTAGCATCTTTACTGGAGTATAATTGCTTTACATTGCTGTGTTAGTTGTTGCTGACAACAAAGTGAATCAGCTATACATATACATATATCCCCATATCTCCTCCCTCTTGCGTCTCCCTCCCACCCTCCCTATCCCACCCCTCTAAGTGGTCACAAAGCACCAAGCTGATCTCCCTGTGCTATGTGGCTGCTTCCCACTAGCTATCTATTTTGCATTTGGTAGTGTATATATGTCCATGCTACTCTCTCACTTCATCCCAGCCTCCCCTTCCCCCTCCCCGTGTCCTCAAGTCCATTCTCTACATCTGAGTCTTTATTCCTGTCCTGCCCCTAGGTTCATCAGAACCCATTTTTTTTTTGATTCCATATATATGTGTTAGCATATGGTATTTGTTTTTCTTTTTCTGACTTACTTCACTCCGTATGACAGAGGCTCTAGGTCCATCCACCTCACTACAAATAACTCAATTTCATTTCTTTCCATGGCTGAGTAATATTCCATTGTATATATGTGCCACATCTTCTTTATCCATTCATCTGTCCATGGACACTTAGGTTGCTTCCCTGTCCTGGCTACTGTAAATAGCCTGGGCTTCATTTAAGTGATTTGCCTGGTGCATTTCAATGTCAGTTTCTTTAGGACTTTTTTTTTTTTTTTTTTTTGCTGTTCGCAGGCCTCTCACTGTTGCGGCCTCTCCCATTGCAGAGCATAGGCTCCGGACGCGCAAGCTCAGCGGCCATGGCTCACGGGCCCAGCCGTTCCGCGGCATGCGGGATCGTCCCGGACCGGGGCACGAACCCGTGTCCCCTGCATCGGCAGGCGGACTCTCAACCACTGCGCCACCAGGGAAGCCCCAACTTTCCATTTTTGATGGTTTTCCAGAGACCACCAGCTTCCTGCTCTGTAGCTTTTCCCTCTGCAGTTCCTCTGTTTTCACCTGTCCTATTTCTCTTGGCACCATTCTAACTCAGATCTTCAGAACCTCCCTTGTAAATCCTCATCTCAAGATTCTTCCCTCTTAAGTCCACTCTATGTAACACCGTCAGGCCAGTAATATTCTGAACGTATACCTCTGTGAGTGTCACTACCTCGCTCACAAAGCCTGTAAATTCTATGCTCATCAACATTAAATATAAATGGCTCACTCTTGCATTTGCGGTCTGGTGTTCTATCCCTGAGACTACGCTTCCAACCTTAAGACTCATTTATGAATTCCTTACAATTTGATAAGGAATACACTCTTTTCCCCATCATCCCTTATCACATCCGTGGCTTACTGTTACGTTTTTGTTTATTCTGTTTTCACCCTTTATAATGTCCAATCAACTCCTCCACTCTTACTCTCAGCATTTTATTACCGTTGATACCCTATCTAGTTTCTCAAGTCTCAATGCAAACGTCACTGTTTTAAGAAGACTTCCTTGAAGTCCTCAACAGAGTTTAGTTTCTGCATCCCACCAATCCCCACAGGACTCAATCCTGCTCTGCCATATTTGCTGAATGCCTACTCTGTGCCAGGCTCTATTCTAGGAGGCATGAAGTGGTATGATGAAGAGCACAGGGACTGGAGCCAACCCTCCCCACTCTGCCACTCTCTCTGTGATCCTGAGGTCTTTAAGACTCAACTTCCTTACCTGTAAAATAGGGAGAACAATAAGATCAGCTTCACGGTGCTTTTAGGAAGATTAAATTGGATGATACATTAAGCACAGTGCCTGACACCTAGTCAAAGCCTGACCTGCATTTTAGCTTCTTTTACTATTAGTTCTAATGATTGTTTGGATAGCTGAAAGGAACTGTGTCCCCTGGGGCAACCAGCACTATTCTCTTCCTACAGTTTAAGTACAATTAGTAGTTGCTGAACTAGAACAAATCTGATTACCCTACCCCCTGGGCAATGTAGATAACACTTATGGCAGGGGTTGGCAAACTTTTCCTGTAAAGGGGGCTAGATAATACTTTTTGGCTTTGCAGGGCTTTGTTGAAGCTACTCCAGTCTGCTGTTGCAGGGCAAAAGTCGCCATAGGCAATATTGAAGTGAATGGGTATGTCTGTGCTTCAATAAAGCTTTATTTACAAACCAGGTGGTGGGCCAGATTTGGCTCACAGGCCACAAGTTGCTGACACTTAAACAAATGAGGCAACAACACTTTTAAATTGCAGCTTCTACTCGCTAGCATATTTGTTTAGAAATTCTAGTCTCTTCCTATTATCTGTAATGGCTAATTTTAAGGGTTAACTTGGCTAGGCCACAGTACCCAAGTATCTGGCCATTTTTCTAGAATTTTCTGCAGAGATTTGTTTTTTTTTTTTTTTAAATGAGATTAACATTTAAATCAGTAGACATTGAGTAAAGCAGATTGCCCTCCACACCATGGGCTGGTCTTCTCCAATCAGCTGAAGGTCTAAATAGAAAAATGATGGCCCTCCATTGATAAAGAGGGAATTCTGCCAGCAGATGGCCCTTCAGACTCAAACTGTAACTCTTCCTGAGGTCTGCAGCCTGCTGGCCTACCCTGCAGATTTTGGACGTGCCCGCCTCTACAATCTCGGGAGCTAGTTCCTTAAAATAAATCTCTGTTTCTCTGGAGAATCATGACCAATACACCATCTTTTCTGAAATCCTACACTTTGCATCCTTGGGTAACAGAAGCTTTTATGATGAAAGATACCTTTAGTCATAAACACAAACACACACAAACACACTGACTTATTCCCACAGAGGAAAACAAATCAACTTTAAAAAGTGTTCTAGTGAAAAGCGATAGAACAGAGTTAATTACGGCAAAGCAACTTTCAGCACTTGGGACCACTTTTCTTGGAAATATTCAGTTCTAAGTTACATTAATCTTAGGTGCTGATAACGTCTTACTGTAGGGTGAGGGAGACTGGATTTAGGCTTAGATGTTTGAAACCACAACACCTATCATTTAAAGAAATTCTAAGCATGTGGTATCCATGTAATGTGTTTTTAATCAGGTTGGGCAAGGTCCTTAACTAGGATCTTAAATTGATGGGCCTAAACTTCATTATCTTTCTGTATCTGCAAAATTGAAATATAAAGGACTCAGCTGGTGGCTGAGAAAAGCTGGCTTATAAAAGAATGCAATTATTTTGACCTCTGTGTTTTTTTTTTCCCACCGAGCTCTAACAGAACTAGCTGGCAGTGAGAAATTCCGTCTTGGAGAGACCAATATAAACCAACGTATGTGAAGAGATTTCCTAACCAGCCTTCCTAAAGCAGCTTTCTCAGGGTTGACAGCTATGGTTTAATGAACTCTTCTGCAAAAGAGAGCAATAAGTAAGAAGGATTCATTTATCTCTAACTGATAAAGAAACTGCTCCCTATGAGATAATGCAACATAATTAGCTTGGCTGGGCTCCAAGTCTACTAGCGAGACCTGGATTCTTGGCCAACAGTGAAGGAAACTATTTCACATTACCTACTCACCTGTCCCCAGCCCAGCCCTGGGCACACTAATGTCATGCTCTTCCAACAGTTCTTAGTGTTTTCTGTATCAGTGCTCTGCCTGGAATCTTTTACAGTTCTCCTCCTCCTTCTTGTCTAAGTCCTGGGCAGCCTTCCTCATAACCTAGCTCCAAACTCCTCACCTTCTCGAGACCACCTCTGACCGCCCTGGTCTCTGGGACTATGTGCCCCTTCTGCAATATGCATGTCTCTACTATGCATATTGTAGTTGTTAGTAATAAGAGGAACCACGAGTTATCAAGCACTTAATAAGAGCCAGCCTCTGTTGCAAGTACTTTACATGCGGTAATCCTCTTAAAGTCTCCACATGAGTCAAGTACTAACACTTTCTGCAAAAACTAAGGTTTAGAAAGTCACGTGCCCAAGGTCATAGCTAGCAGGATGTGTGTTATGGACTGAATGTTTGTGTCCTCCTGAAATTCATATTTTGAAACCCTAACCCCCAGTGTGATGGTATTAGGTGGGGGCCTTTGGGAGATTATTAGATCACGAGGGTGAAGCCCTCATAAATGGAATTAGTGCCCTTATAAATAAAAGAGACTCCAGAGAGCTCCCCTGCCCTTTCCACCATGTGAAGACACAGCAAGAAGATGGCTGTCTATGAACCAGGAAGCGCTCACCAGACATTGGACTTTCCAGTGCCTCGCTCTTGGACTTCCCAGCCTCCATACAGTCTAACTTATTTTTGTCACAGCAGTGCAAATGGATTACAGCAACATGGAAGCATGATTATAATCCAGGTCTCTCTCATTCCATGCCATCCACATGCTGTCTCCCAGCTTGAGGGCTGGGCCCACGTCTTACAACACTCTGTCTCTTCAGTGCTGGGCCGAGCAGTGTTTGCTGATGATCAAGGGGCTTCACGTTTAGCAGATGAAAAGCAGGTAGAGAGGTTGGGGAAGATGGCTGTGTTCTAACTGTGCATGAAATACTGACTAGGGAATTATAGCCTCTACAACACAAAACCAGAGATACAGGAATTACTCAATATACATGTAAATGCTATGTAATGATTTAGATAGAGCCTGACATGTATAACCAAATTGGCATTAGAAGAATTTAAAGCCAAAAAAAGAGAGAAATTACACATGCATGCACCGATAACATACATATGTTCCGTGTACATCTGAACTTTACAAGACCTCTGGTTATTAGTCATAAACAAGGTGAGAAGATATAATCCATTATATTACATACCTTCTGGGATGCATTGTCCAAGGACAAATTTATACCCTTTGCAGCACTTCCGCCTAAGAGACAAACAAAATGTGATATGTTAAAAATAAAATTCTTTACAATTAGCGAGTTTGAATGAAATAACTTGTGCCCAGGAAGAACTGAGGCATAAAGGAAAGTCAGGGTAGAGGGAATCTGAGATAAAAAGAAAAAATATTATCACTACCATATGACCCACACCTTTTCCCCACCTAATACAGGACATTAATCCTTTGAATCCTATGAAGTGAATTAACCCTGAGACTTCAAGATATTTATATTAGATGATTAGTGGCTTATCATCCTACAGGTCAAGGATTCACATGACTTGCTAATTATGAGCTAATTATAGTAACATTAGGCTAATTATAACATAATGATTGATAATTACCATATAATAATTAGGTAACTAATTATTATCAAGCCTGGGACTGGAACCCAAGCATTCTGACTCCCCCCTCTTTTTTTTTTTTTGAAAACACCTGTACCACATAAGGTACCTAAAGATACCTAAAGTATCTGAATTTTAAGAAAGGCTAACAGGCAAATTTTAACATAAACATCCAAGACTTACATCTCTGCCCAAGAAATGGCACCATCAGTTCCAAATGCAAATCCCCACTGTAGGGATCATATCTCTGGTATGGAGCTGTGACCTCCTAAGAGACCTGCCCCCTCTGCAGATAACAACAATAAACTCTGGACAAAACAGAAGCAAACAACTACCTGATGATTCTGGAGAGTTAAAGCAGACAGATTTAGGAGGAGAGCTGAAATTTTCAACAAGGGACTGACAGAGGGTAATCTTCCTGCTTTTTAGGGCTTTATCCTGTCTGCAGATCACAGTTGCCATGTGGAAGTTAAAAGTCTGAGAGAAAACCTGCAGTATTTTTTGGCCTGGTCAAACAGAGGACAAAGCCTTGGGATCCAGAGTCATGAGAAACTGAGAAGGAATCCTGGAAAGGATAGTGCTAGAGAAGGAGAGCCCGGAATTTTGTGTAGAAACTCTGTCCAAGTCTCTGGTAACCCCTAACCCATGTGTGTGAGAAGCAGATCCAAAACATCTCAGCTAAAGACAAAAGGGGCTGAATGAAGACTTGAGCTGCCACTTCTACAGGCCAGTTTTCACTTTTTGTCTAATCAAGTTAACTGTCTGCTAAAAGGAAAATATCAATACTCTTTGGACGAATATATCAGGATGCAGGGTCTCTACAACACAACGTGTATAAATGTGACCTATTCTCAAGGGAAAAGACAATCAATGGTGTGAACTCTAAGATAACCCAGAGGTTGGAATTATCAGACGCAAACATATAACTATGTTCAATGATATAAAGGAAGATATACTTGTAATGAATGAAAAAGTAGGAAATCTCAGCTCTCCATCTCTCCAGTCTCCATCACTTTTCCCTTCCCTTCTCTCCCAGCTGGTTTCTAAGTAAGCTTCCCTTTACCACTTCCAACATCAGTGTATGTTAAATCAGAGAGCAAGAATTAACCAGGGCCCTGGGAATCTGCAAATCTCAAGAACTTACCAAGATATTTTGAGTTGACTATAATGGTTAAACTACCATTAAAAATACTCTTCTTTGTAACCCTAAGAGAAATCAGATTCAAGGTTATTCTCATCGCAATGTCATTCTGACTCATTTGCATTTGGATATGCTTTCCAGGTGGAACAGAAAGGGATTAAGTTTAATAGGATCTACCAGCTAGGAACTGCATATCACCTGCAACCTATCATGCCACCTGTGTTAACATGTCATCTGTATATACGAATCAGGGGCACAAACCACTGATGTGGAAAATCAGGCATTATCTGTGTCTTAAAGTAAGTTTCCACTTTCATCAAATGGCTAGAACCTTCGACCGGACTAGACAAGACCTTCTGTCTCTAATAACAGCATTATTTTCTACTTTTGCAAGTCAGTGTAATCTTACTGGTCAAATCAATTTTTGTGAACTGGTCTGCTAAGTGAATGACCACTCATAGGAGAAACTTAAGCAATCTCTTCCCCAAGCTTTAAAATTTTTATTACTTTATACAATTTATAAACATCACATCTAGTACGAGAACATTCTGATACCTAAGTGGGTTTAGCAGTATTACCTCATTCCTTCCTGTAACATCTCACTTGCAGCCCAGATGCAGCAGATAATCCTACTTCCAAAGCAAAATAAGTGGGTTTCCATTATAAAAACAATGGCATTTGGGATGCTCCCAAAGCAGACTTGGGTGAAATAGCTAAGCTCAACCCCACCCTCAACAAAGGATACATTTGCCTGCCTGTACTTGTCCACTCAGTATATATTATTTTATAATCTCTCATTGACATATTTTATGTTAAAAGGAAATACTTATGTGTGTGTAATTTACTGGTATGAGCGATCTGGGGCAACGTCCAGAGTCTTCCAGTTAGACCTAATTCCCCAGTATCTGCAACCACAGTGTAATTTTACATGACAGGAAAAGCCCGTGGGGTATAAATTTATGATGATTATTATTTGTAACAGTGGTAGAAGACCTACCATTACATTCTATGAAATAAACTCTGCCTAGTTTTCCATGGTTTAAGAAAGTCCAAGTTCTAGACTTCCCTGGTGGTGCAGTGGTTAAGAATCTGCCTGTCAATGCAGGGGACACGGGTTCGAGCCCTGGTCCGGGAAGATCCCACACGCCACAGAGCAACTAAGCCCGTGGGCCACAACTACTAAGCCTGCGCTCTAGAGTCCACAAGCCACGACTACTGAGTCTGCGTGCCACAACTACTGAAGCCTGGGTGCCTAGAGCCCGTGCTCCTCAACTAGAGAAGCCACCACAATGAGAAGCCTGTGAACCGCAATGAAGAGTAGCCCCTACGTGCCGCATCTAGAGAAAGTCCGAGTGCAGCAACAAAGAACTAATACAGCCATAAAATAAATAAAATTAATTAATTAAAAAAAAAGAAAGTCCAAGTTCCTAACAACCAAAAAGAAAACTGGCTTAACAGAGCATTCATTAAAATTTCACGGATATTACTTACTGTATTACTTAAGGCTGTCCTACAGAAAACTATAGGAGGAAGCAGTGTGCTAGATGATTCGAAACTCGAGTGATTCATGAGAAAGTTGGATGGAGGGGCAAAACATGTGCTTTTGATACACCAAGTATAACACCACGTTTAAACATATGGTTCTATTTGTTTGTTTCTACCTAAGTGGCACATCTAAGGTACTGCCTCTGAGATGTTCTATGGCATTTTAAAGTTCATGCAAATGGATGAAATCCTTATAATCTGTTTTTCTACATCTAAGACATTAAACTTGGGCACTCTAACCTTCCTGAGCATTTCAAGGGCTTGGGACCATGCACACAGTGGAGCCAAAAGTCACCTGTCATTTCCTTTTTATGGAATTAAATAACACAGTGATTTGATATGCTTTCAAGAGGCTATGGAGCTCTGTCAGAAAATCTGAGCTTCAGGATGGACATGCTTCATTTAAATATCTGCTCAGCGAAGAATTAACTTCCCCTTGGCTGGTTTTTGATGGTTTTTTTTTTTTTTTTTTTGCGGTACGCGGGCCTCTCACTGCTGTGGCCTCTCCCGTCGGGGAGCACAGGCTCCGGACGCGCAGACTCAGCGGCCATGGCTCACGGGCCCAGCCGCTCCACGGCATGTGGGATCTTCCCGGACCGGGGCATGAACCTGTGTCCCCTGCAAAGGCAGGCGGGCTCTCAACCACTACGCCACCAGGGAAGCCCCCCCCTTGGCTGTTTTTTCTTAACTGCATAACTAACTCTCTCTGCTCAAGAGGAGGAGGTCGGAGGCTCCACTGTACCCTCCCGGGAACACGGCATTACTTTGCATATTAAACACCCATCAATCATAAATCACCACATAAACAATGAAATAGTCCAAAGCATCACAAATAAACACTGGCCATACATGTTATACTGTTTCAGAGATTACTTACAACATAATTCACGTATAATGAAGCTGAGCCAGCCAAACTGAAATCTCCTCATTATGCAAGCACAGACACTTTTTAGATCTAACTGCGAGCATGGCTGTGCGGTTATCATCTTTTAGAAAACAAACTAAGACAGGAAAAGCTCATGTGGAATCCGGGGAGGCACTCCTTAATACGCTTCACGTTGTCACAACGTGGTTTTTCCAAATGCAAATGCTTTTCTCATTTCTTGGCAAGGGGAAGTGGCGATTAGATGGTTGTTACATAGAAAGGGTGACATCTGGTAATCAGGAAAGTCTGTGGATGTTTCCCCTGGGTGCCCCTGAGTATTAACACACATTAAAAAATCATAAATAAAAACTATGCAGCCAGAAATATATCTCACCAGCCAAGTGTGTGTGAAAGCTTTTGGAAGGAAAAACTAAATCGGGAAAATGAAGATAACAGAGATCTCATCATCCAACTGTCTGCTGTGAGTTACCAGATTCTCGAAAAGAATTAAAAAAACACCACCACCACTGCCTACAGAATTAGAGGGCCAGAAGAAGGGACCTCAAAAGGTCAAGTGAGCTAGTAGGCAAGATGTATTTCAACACTTGCTCCAAGGCAACAGTAAATTTTCCTAAGATTTACTTGAGGTTTCCTTTGCACAGCTGCCTAGACATGCACCAAATATACCAGGCTTTTTAAAACATGAGAGAAAGAACTACACTTTTTAGAGAATTTGGTGCCAAGCTAGATGGAGCAAAGGCTTTGGAGTTAAGCAGACCTGGCTTACAATTCTGCCTCTGACCTCTGAAGAGCTCGGGATGTGGGCTTCCCTGGTGGCGCAGTGGACAAGAATCTGCCTGCCAATGCAGGGGACACGGGTCCGGGAAGATCCCACTTGCCGTGGAGCAACTAAGCCCGTGGGCCACAACTACTGAAGCCTGCGCGCCTAGAGCCCGTGCTCCACAACAAGAGAAACCACCGCAATGAGAAGCCTGCGCACCACAACGAAGAGTAGCCCCCGCTCACCGCAACTAGAGAAAGCCCGTGGGCAGCAATGAAGACCCAACACAGCCAAAAAATAAAGAAAATAAAA